CCCGGTCCGGAGCAGCGAGGACCACGGCTCCGCGCAGGGCGGCAAGGCGTTGGCTGTAGGCGGCCCGTTCTCTTGGGAAGGAGTGTCTGAAGTTGCTGTGACATTCTGGAAAGAATGTTAGCTAAATCTTCCGGGTGGCAGGGCCTCCTCATCAGACCAGCCAGCCAGCCAGCCAGCCAGAGGGAGAGGCCAATAGCGGGCTCTTCCTCGTTGAGCAGGCTGTGTCATAGATGTCCCAGCCTCCTGGCAGGGCATGCTGGTCAGGAACCAGGAGCTGGGTGACCCGGGCCCGCCAGTGCACTAATCTGTGCTTCAGCTGCCCGTTTACAGGTCAAGGCCGGACTAGATGGCGGGCCTTCCAGCTCGGATCTCATTGCTCTGGAAATGGCTCCCGTCTGCAACATGCCTCCTGGAAGTCACTCCCGCTATCTGTATCGTCCACGAGAAAGAGCAGAATGTCAAGTTGCGGGGAGGGAAGGAGACAGATTTGTTAGGCTCTGCGTATTTGTCAGCATCATTTATCAGCATTCAATGGGCATTCTTCTTACTGATGGGTGTGTGGATGGAGTTCAGGGAATGCTATAAACATTAGTAAACTGATGCTGAAGGAAAACATAGACATATCTATAGTGATATCCACAAGGTGCTCATAAGGTCTGAAAACAGGTCACACTTTTTCTTTAAAGACCCACTTTCTCTCGGGTTGAAGATATTGGTAACAACATTATGTATATTCACCTATGGTTCTGGATGTTATGGACACCTTGTATAGTTACCTGATTTTTTACATATAAAATTATTATACATCAGATAAAACATTGTTTACACTTATACATATATATATTGTATATACACATACAGGGGTGGGCAAAAGTAGTTTTACAGCTGTTCGAATGGAACGTAATAAATATAATACAAGAATAAACTGTGCTTTTTATACTTGCAACTGTAAATCTACTTTTGCACACCAATGTAGCTACACACATACACAAATGTATATAGAGGGAGTACCAAAAAGCAAACGTGGCAATAATGTTAATTAGTGACTAAAAATAGTCAAAGAAAGTGTATGTAACTCTCAGAGTTCTCTAAGTCTCGGTAACTGCTATTTAAGTGGCCGAAGCATGGCATTTGAATGGGAAATGAGCTATTAAGTCACTGAGATATAAGAAATGACTGCAATATTTATACTAGTTATTAAGGCCATTAGGTATAGAGAAAGACTTGGCTTTTGTACGAATGCCACTGAGGGATGATTTTCAATTTTGTTCATTTTAGAACTTTACATTTAATTTGGGTGGTTCAGTTGATTGGAGCATTGTCCCATATACCAAATGCCTGCAGGTTCAATCCCTGGTTAGGGGTGCCTACAGGAGGCAGCCAATTGATGTTTCTCTCTCTCCCTCTCTCTCTCTAAAATCTGTAAATACATATCCTCAGGCGAGGATTAAAAAACATTTTAATTTCTACAGCAGATTCTAGGTAACACTTGCAGGAGTGGGCCTCTCCTTGCAGCTACACCTGTACATAATGGTTACAAAGCTTCTTGCAGAATTGGCTCTGCCAGTTCTCCTGGTTTGTTAGCTACTTGCAGCTACTTTTTAAATTAAAGCTGAGGAGTCAACTCTGTTTATTTTATTTTGATAAAATAATTCTCCACATCAGGATTATTTGAAATGTGGCTTTTCCTTCAGTAAGTTCTGTTCAATATTTGGAACAGGAATACAGGGGTGGGAGGTATGTCAAAACATGACTCTGGCTCTCAATGAGCTTACAGATTGCATTAGTCTAAGGACAGCCTTTCTGGTTCTGAGGATAAAATGAGAAGCAGGTTTTTTTGTTGTTTTGTTATTTTTTTCTGTGAAGTGCAGATCTTTATGCTGCTCCCCGAGGTATGAGCGACGTGAGCTCTGATGCCTCTCCAGCTCCTTTGGGTGGCACACACGGTGTGTCCGACGGGAGAGGGAGGAGTTGTTCTGACAGCCAGAAGTCTCCTATGGTCCCCAGTGCTCGCCCCCTTGCCTGGGCTTCCCTGTGGAGAAAGCCAAAAGGCTCTCCTTGTATATAGGGTTGCCAGATGCTGGGTGACATTTAATGCCAGTGGTCTTGATCTGGCATCTAGAAGGGTTCAGCAATCTGGAGAAAGGGCTGTGCATAGATTAAATAAGAGTTCAGAGACAAAAGATAATTTTGAAAGGCATATTTGGGGGAAGCAGAGGAGCCTGGCTAAAGAAACCAAGTTCTCCTTGTCTCGGGACCCCTTGTTTTTTATTAACACAAATTGTCCTAAAGCAGGGTGGTGATATATACACTTCAAAGGGTAGGGTTTCTACAGAATCCATTGTCTGATTGGGGAATAGCCTATGGCTGTTCAGGTGTTTGGCCAATAGGAGGCAAAAACATGTAGATTAAGATGCCCTGAGCTATCTGGCAGCAAACAATCAATTTAATGTATCCTTTTCAGGTTTGGGGAAATGCCTTTAGCCATTCCAGCAGGTGATAACAAATGTGACTCAGCCCTTATTGAGTCTCCAATTTCCATCAACCTTTCTATGAAACTCTTGTAATTATGACATGCTGGAACTGGCTTCCGGCACAGGGTCAGTGGTGTAGTCCTGACCCATATCAAGAAAGGCCAGCTTCACCAAAACTGGTTTGGCTCAGTGGATAGAGTGTTGGCCTGCGAACTGAAGGGTCCCAGGTTTGATTCCAGTCAAGGGCATGTACCTAGGTTGCGGGCACATCCCCAGTAGGGGGTGTGCAGGAGGCAGCTGATCAATGTTTCTCTCTCATCGATGTTTCTAACTCTCTATCCCTCTCCCTTCCTCTCTAAAAAATCAATAATATATAAACCAGCTTCAAGAGCCGGGGCTGCCCTGGTACAATGGCCAACCCCCATCCCTCCTCCCCCACCATCCTATTCAAAAGCTATGGCAAAAAGTCAGCCCCAGGTGTACATTTCATACATAATTTGGGGGCCTAAATTTAAGCTTCTAGCTAATAACCAGGTTTCACCAGCCAGCTCTTTGTCTCAAGACGTTTGAGGACATCTGATGCCTAAAGAAAGCAAGCGTGAAGTCTTGGTGTTTAAGGCGAAGAGCAGGCTCCCAAAGGAAACTATCCGGGACCTCTGCCAAGACACAGACAACGATGTGGTTCAAACCAGAATGAGGTAAAGGCCAAATAGAAGTCCAAGGTGAAGAGAAAGCATAGAGAGAGGAGGTAGTGGCAGCTTCTGAGCCTGGGCCTGAAGGAGGATGGATATCCTCAGGCACGTAGTAGGGAGACACGGTTCCTGGACACAGAACAGCACAACTTCCAAATATTAGATGGAATACAGATAACACTGGGAGGAAGCAAGCTGCCAGGCCCAGGATGCAGGCCCAGGATACCCTGCAGGACAAGTACCCTGTCCCTTTAGCAAATCGAAGGCTGGGAAAGAGGTGCTGGTGAAGGGAGGACTAGCTGGATATAAATACCCCAGTGCACCTCACGGTACCACAGTTCTCTCCCCCCTCTTCGTTCCTTCCTTCGTGTACTTGACAAACACTCCCTCTGTGACTGGCCCTGGGTTCGCCAATCAGCACGGTGGGTCCTAACCTTGCACTGTCTCTCTGGTTGGTCCTTTCCTTTCTGTATCCGCTCTCCCTTCTCTGGCAAAGGCCCACTTTACAGCAGTGGTTTCTGCGGGGACCTCACTCTCTCTACTCTCTCTTTTCCACAAGCTGTGAAACTGATGTAGAAGTTGATCTGGAGTCAATAAAGTTCTATGAAGAGCCTACTCAGAGGCCACCCGGTCACCACCCCGGATAGGAGGCCCGCTCGGTTGAGGACATGCACACATGGGTCTTGACAGACAAGGGCTCCGGGGAAGACAGCCCACAAACAAAAACAACGAGCTATGTGGTGAGGGCTCTGGGGTGACAAGGCACTTTTTATTTTGTCCTCACGGTGCTTAGCGTATAAAAAGGGGACAGAATTTAACAAAAATTCACACACATTGTTATTTAATTTTACCCGTGAAAGCTCTCCTCTGGGAAGGAGAGCGCTTGTGTCCTGAGAGGGTTTGTAACGGGGAAAGCTAACCCAGTCTGGAGTCCAGGCGACCTTCCTTTGCACAAGACAGCCACCAGCCAACCGAGCCATACCCGCCATGGCTAAATGGCCCAACTTTTTAAAAAAATATATATATATATTTTATTGATTTTTTACAGAGAGGAAGGGAGAGATAGAGAGCTAGAAATGTCAATGAGAGAGAAACATCGACCAGCTGCCTACCGGGGATGTGCCCGCAACCAACGTATATGTCCCTGACCAGAATCGAACCTGAGACCTTTCAGTCTGCAGACTGACGCTCTACCACTGAGCCAAACTGGTTTCGGCTAAATGGCCCAACTTTTAACATAACTTATTTAAAATGTTTGGAAATTCTCTGAATCCCTCCTGAAAGCTGTGCTGTTCTTTGTGCAGAATTTGTTAAAATCCGGTCAGCCATCCCACCTGAGTGCTCCAGTCTGTCCTAAGAAGGCTACTGGCATTGCCTTTGACTTTCAAGGTGAACATCCGTGTCTTTGTTATCAGAGAGCCGGTCCTCCCCTGGACGGCCCACTCCCATCAGGCTGCTGTGGGTCTGCATCGGAGCACGGAAGTCAGAATCATCTTTTCCTCGTTGCCACGGATTCTCCTCTGATCATGTACTCCAGTCCCCACCCCTGAAGGGCTCCTGTGTCCTTCACAAACCGGTTTTATTTGGAAGCGCTTGTAATCACGGCTCCTGGCCCCGGGAACCCTCTTCCGCGTGTCCCCCTCCGCCTCTGGCACCCTGAAGAGCTGTCCCGCCACCAGGGAACTGTAACCGTTGTGTTGGGCTCATCGCCTCCCTGGAGTCATGGCCCCTGTGGGCGCCTGTGCCCATCGGGCTGGCATGCGTGCTGCCCCCTTCAGAATTGTATTGTGGGGGACTCTTGTTTTCATCCGTGTCTGATCCCGGAGTGCAAGGTTCATATGCACAAATGTCTGCATCTCTCTCACCAGGGGCCGTCTTACCAGGGTCCGAGGGAGCTTCAGCAGAACACGGGGGTGTTTCCACACTAAAGAACTCGAGGTCTCTGAGCGAGCGATGCCACTCTGCTGCCTCAGACTGAGGAGCCGGGACGCAGTCAGACGTGGACGTGCCCGGGGTCGTGTCACGGGCAGCACGCTCACCCGGTGACCTGGGCAAGGTCTCCGGGTTCTCACATTTGTGGGTGTCAGAGGCACTTTCCCGATGACTCTTGTCCACACTGGAGTCTGAACGGGAAATGAGAGGTTGTCCGAAGCGATCCTCCTCCTGGTTCTCACATTTCCCCTGAGCCTTCTGGGAGGTGGTGTCCCCAAGACTCTCGGAGGATGCAACGTTGTCCTTCCTCCCCTCTGGGTCCCGGTCCTCCGGAGGCTCACTGGTGCCAGAACTCTCCTCCCCATCCGCCTCTCCGTCACTCCCGTTTCTCGCACCCTCCGAACCCCCTGAGCTTAGAGTGAATAACGAGCCTTCTTCGGAATCGGTGTCCAGCTCGTCCTGTGTGTCCTCCCGCCCTCCCGTCCCCGGTGCTTTTGTGCACATTTGCATTTTAGAGAGAGCGGCTGTTATCTCTCTTGACAGTGGGGGGCCTGATGCATTCGAGTCCTGATGGATGGAGCCGGAGCCAGTTGGTAAGCTGCCGGCAATCCCAGGGATGCCCATCGAGTGCCCACTGGGCGCATCTTCCTGGGCCTCCGTCTCAGAATCCACTTCTCCACGGACCCCACTCCTGCAGGCGCGGCCCCGTTCTGCGAGGGGGTGACCATCAGCACCCGGCCGGCCGCGGGGAGCGGAACAGGCCGCACGGCCATTGGGGAGCACGTTGTCCCTCCTCCTTCCTCCCCCGGGCTCGGCCCCGCGCTGCCCCCTGCCCTGCCGGCCTCCAGGCTCCTCTCTGCTCGGGCCCCGAGTCCTGCCGGCAGTGACAGCAGCCTGCGGGCTGGCCCGCGTCCCTGAGAAAGGGTGTCCGGGCTCCCAGAGGCTCAGGCCCCGGGGAGCTTGGTGCAGGTCCCCTCTGGGGTGCTGGCTGTCCCCGGCAGAGTCCGTCTCATCGCAGTAGCCCTCGTTGGAATACGCGAGGTCAGACCCAGGGCTTTTCTTTCTGCACCGCTGTTGCCACAGCCTGTCGATGTAAGGCCTCGTCCACGCCCCCAGGCAGAAGGCCACGAAGAAGGTGATGAACACGGCCAAGCAGACGGCCAGGGCGAGGTGCTGGGACGCGGCTTCCGTCCCGCCCGCAGCTTGCCGATCCTGGGTGCTCCTCACCCGCCTCGGCGGCCGTCGGTGCTGGGCCTTGGAGCCGCCGTGGTCCTGCTGCTCCGGCATGGCTGAACCCACATGCAAGCCTTCCTGGGGCCTCTCAGCTTTGCTCCCGATGAGGCTTCTCGCGTGACTCAGATTCGTGTGAGGGAGTTGGGCCTCCCTGGGAATCCTGCTTCTGGGTGTCCACCAGTGTGCCTCCTCGGGCCCTGAAAGTGAGGGTAAAACACACTGACATTAGAGTCCGTGGGTTTATATGTAAAGTGCAGGGTCCCAAGTTCGGTTCCGGTCAGGGGCATGTACCTTGGTTGTGGGCACATCCCCAGAGGAAACTGATCAATGATTCTCTCTCATCGATGTTTCTAACTCTCTATCCCTCTCTCTTCCTCTCTGTAAAAAAAAAACCAAAAAAAAAAAAACCAATAAAATATATATTTAAAAAAATAAAGTGCAGGTTGCATGCCGATCAGCAGCCCTCCTGATTGGCTGAGGGATGCCTAAGGCCAGTAGTAGCTCTGTGTGCATGCACACGCGGCTGCGGGCTCAGGAAGCTGCTCACCAGCCAGGAGTGGCAGGTTTCCTGGGCTTCTTGCCCGAGGGCTCCCTGTGGGAGGGAAAGAAGCCAGTCTGGAGGGGTAACCTCATGACTTCGCCTTCTTCCATACCCTTAGCTACTGCACGTCCTGGAGGACATTCCATCCGCCCCACCCATGCTCTCAGCAGCCTTTCCTCAGCGTGCCCCATGCTGGCGAGCACAGAAGCTCCCAGGGCTCTCCAGTGGCTCCTGGCATTCTGCCCTCCACGCTCAAATGCCAGGGCAGCTTTGAGAGGGGACAGGACACGTGTGGCTGACAACACTGGCCTCCCTCTGACCTTCATGGTTTTCTTCTAGTCCTGGGAAGCAGGGCCATGTTCCTATTTTATTATTTAAAAAATATATTTTATTGAGTTTTTACAGAGAGGGAGGGAGAGAGATAGAAAGCTAGAAACATCGATGAGAGAGAAGCATCAATCAACTGCCTCTTGCGCACCCTCCTACTGGGGATGTGCCCTCAACCAAGGTACATGTCCTTGACTGGAAGGGGCAAGCCAACACTCTATCCACTGAGCCAAATCGGTTTCGGCTCATGTTCCTATTTTAATGTCAGTCTTGAACAGAACAGAATCCAGGACCACTAAAAAAAAAAAAAATCTGACTTTCTTCCCCACCCCCCCATTAGAAGTTTAAGCCACCACAATAGTGGAAAACACTTTCCAGAATGTTCAACTTCAATCACATATTCTAGCATGCTGGGAGAGTGGCAGGAATCAAATAAAAAAAAATATCTGCTTTTGAAATATGTGTGTTTGGTGTCTGTGTAGGATTATAGTTTTAGAATGTTGGCAAACATTTAAAATAATCAGGTTTCAAGTTTTAAATGTACTTTCTTTGATTATTTGTTAAGAATTGGGACTTAAAAAATATATGACACTGTGGGGTCTTCAGGGGAAAATTCTCTCTTTATGAAATTTCTGCTTTTGACCAAATCCAGCAGTTTCTGAGATGGCGAAACTAAGTTTCTTTGTCCCATGTAAAGAAAGTCATTCATGACTGAGGAAAACAGTTAGAAACCAATGACTGCTCTAAGACACAGCCCAAGGCTGCCCAAGGCCACGGGTCACCATTGTTTCAAACAGGACTAAATTGGTCCTGTCTTTTTGTTCACTTGTTTTATATATATATATTCTTTTCTTTTCTTTTCTTTTCTTTTCTTTTCTTTTCTTTTCTTTTCTTTTCTTTTCTTTTCTTTTCTTTTCTTTTCTTCTCTTCTCTTCTCTTCTCTTCTCTTCTCTTCTCTTCTCTTCTCTTCTCTTCTCTTCTCTCCTCTCCTCCTCTCTCCTCCTCTCCTCTCCTCTCCTCTCCTCTCCTCTCCTCTCCTCTCCTCTCCTCTCCTCTCCTCTCCTCTCCTCTCCTCTCCTCTCCTCTCCTCTCCTCTCCTCTCCTCTCCTCTTCTCTCCTCTCCTCTCCTCTCCTCTCCTCTCTTCTCTTTTCTTTCCTTTTCTTTTCTGTTCAGCTGGAACCCTTTGGGAGAGAAGAGAGACTACTGACATACCTATAGACTTGTTGCAAATTACATCCCACTTTCTCCTCCAGGATTCAGAAATGACATTTTGGAAGACGGTCACACTGTCATCACACTGCCATTGGTTATGGGCCAAGTCCGCCTCCAGGTGGGGGAGTTCTAGAGCGATGGTCATCATGGGCAGGATGGTGGTCAGGGCATTGCTGCTGAGGTCCACAACCTGCTCGAGGAGAAGCAAATGTGGGGCAGTTCTGTGAACAAAGACATTTAGAGACAATAAACGCGTTCCAGATATTGTTTGTGTCTATATGGAGGCAATAAGAAGTTAGCACTGATTTGAGAGCCAGAGGAACCTGGGATTCAATCTCTGCTCTGTCAACAACAGTTCTGTGAGCCAAGGTTGTTGTTAGGATGAAATGCACGCAAAAGCTTTAAATATGGTGCCTACATTAGATGATCAATCATTTTCCCGTCTTTCCTATGAACTGTGATTTGTACTGTTCGATAAAACCTGGACTCCCCATTGTTATCAAGGTCTAGAATTAGTTACCAGATCTAAAGTGTCTAGAAGCACGGTATTCTTGAAAATGGCAGAAGATACTGAATGATGAGGCCATACAGCACAGATCTGCAGCTGACCAGTAGTAGTGAAGAGAGATCTTTTGCTTCAAGGGTAGTAGTGCATGTCACTGCATCCGCACTACTTAGTATGCACAAGATGACCAGTTTTTCTAGTCTAATCAGAAATGAAGGGGAAACCAGGGAACAAAAAGGACTCAGTGACACTAGAAACTCAGAGAAGGACCCGATGAAGATGGATGTGGCCATGGCCTGATGCAGCAGGGAAAGCATGGTTAGGTATAGTTCTAGGTACCATTCACAGAGCACTTTCACTGCTGTGTACCAGCCACCTTACTGAGTGCTTTACATGTTATCTTTGTATCTCTAAACCTCCCAACAAATTCCTCATCCCCTCCGCCCCCCCCCTTATTTTTTACAGAGGAGGAAACTGGGCTAGGGCACACAGTGCATTCCACACAGCCCCTTGTACATAGCAGGTGCTCCTTAAATAGTGAAGAAAAGAATGAATGAATGAATGAATGAATGAATGAAATGGCAGAGTTGAAATCTGATCTGGCTTCTCTGTGTGCCTTCTATTCCACAATACACCCCCCTGGGGCCTGAGCTCTCATCAAACTGGAGTGAAGGGCTGGGTGGAGGAGGCCTGCAGCATGAGGCACCGGAGTGGGATCTTGGGGCCTAGGGAGGGGCAGGTGGTTATCAGAAGAAGGGAAAACAGCGAGTCTTGCTGAAGAATAAGAAGAGGGCTATGGCTGAAAACTAGAGAGGCTGGATGCTATCTAGGTCAAATGTCTTATAAACATCACGGGAAAAACAGCGTTGGTATCCTGGATTAAATAAATCCTAAGAGCTGATTCAAACAGCCAATCCAGCGGCATCATCACCAAGACCACTACATGCTTAATCAGAGTTCTCCTGGGCATGAGCAATGAGGCTGACCTTTCCCATGTTGAGTAACCAAGCTGTCTTGAGTCCCCAAGGAAGGTTGCCAAAGAACAGGAAGTAGGGGACTGGGATTGGGAAGGGAAAAAAACCAAAACTTTTCTTTGGCCTGGTCTTGCCAAGGATCAATAATTTTCTTTTGTAACCCGCCTCAACAACTGAGTGAAATATTCTACTGTTTCTCAGGTAGTTATTTTCTTTTTAGTGCATGTCTAGTTTTTTTTTTCTCTCTCTAGTCTAGCAACTATGTTATGACAAATCACTGACCTGAAAGCAACACTGGAGAGAGGCCAGAAAACTAATAAGATGATGCAGGAGAAATAATTTCTGAGAAAATATTAAAACAGAATAGTTCAATGTGGCTAACAAAACAGCCATCTACCATCAGTGGCAGGAGTGTACATTACTGAAAGCCTGGGAGAAGCATATGTTGCTACACAAATCACTGAATTTAAGAAGAATGGAGTAAGAGTAAGAAAAAGGATGCTACTTTGAAATGCTAACGAAAACGTATTCTATCTAAACATGCTGATGAATTCATGATATGAAAACTCTATCTGGCTTCTGAGAAGATTCCAACATGGGAAGACATATTGCACTGTGTTAATGTTAAATGCATCTCCTGAAGAAAAAAAAACAAAACAAAAAAACCCCAACACAACAACCCACATACCATCTACTTTAATATGCAGCTTTCTGGTACAAATTATGTTCATCCTGCTCCAAACCAGTTTTTAAGTTATTACCAAGCATGTAGAGAAGGAATATTAGAGAAGGAGCGATTGTATAATTCTGGGCAGTTCAAGTGAATCGAGAATTACAGATGATTTAAATCATTCTTGGGATTGTTTTTTTTTTTAGTTTGCCTGCAGCATCTATAACCTGTGAGCTGCAGAAGACTTATAAAGCACAATAAAAATGCATAGGAAATAAAACAGACACAGGGCAATCACACACACACAAATATAATCAGCAGACAATATACTAACTGAGGTCCCCAGGCAATCTGACTACATATTTGTGGTGAATTGGGGAGCGCTGCCAAGTCAAGGGGGCTTTCTCATCTGCCTTTATAATTCAGCAGATTCTGAAAGAGTCCCCAATGGTTCTGCCTCCTAGTATTCATGCCCTTGAGAAATCTCTTCCCCTTGCATGTAGGTGGGGCCCGTGACTTGGTTCTAACCATAAGTCAGAGTATGGAAGAAGCAATGGGCATCCCTTCGTTGATCTCATATTCTTCTTGCTAGCAGGCTCTCTCCTTTGGGCTGTGGTGCAAGCTGCCATGCCATGAGCTGCCCTTGGGGAGGCTGACATGGCACAGAATGGAGGGCAGGCTCAGGCTGACAGCCAGCAAGGAACTGAGCCCTCCGTCAACGCCCACAAGGAATTGAATGAAGGTTTCCCCTTCCCGTCCCCGTGACCTTCACCTAGGCCTTCAGGCGAGAATCCAGTCTTGGCCAACACCTTGATTGAAGCCAGCGGCAAGTAGAGAGACTTGGAGTTGGGTTTAATTTCATTTAGAAAAATAATGTGCCACTTGTTGCTGCTGAGTATTATGTTTGAGCAAAATTCATTACTCAGACCACTGATTTTTAAGGCAAGAGAGAGACTTCAGCAATTTTAGAGGGACCTTAAAATAGACTTACATTTTTTTGATTAATAGTCAGTACTACTGGACACGAAGAAACTCCTAAAATATTCTTCTAATGTAATTGCCCACATGTCTATGTATTTGAAATATTATAAAAATTATCTTATAACCTGTAACTTTTTGAGGTCCTTGAAGGCTTCCGGATGAATTCTGAATATCTTGTTGCTCCTTAAATAGAGGTTCTCCAGCTGCAGGCAGTTATGAAAATCAAACACACCAATTTTCAATATTCCATTGAACGATAGATCCAAACTCTGTAATGACTTCAGTTTCCACAATCCTATTAAAATTAAAAAGTAAATTAAAATATTGCCCTGGCTAGTGTGGCTCAGTTGGTTGGGTATCATCCTGTGCACAGAAAGGTCGCTGGTTCAATTCCTGGTCGGGACACATGCACCGTCTGGGTTTTGGGCTTGGTCCCAGTACGGGGCATGCAGGAGGCAGCCGATGTCACATCGACGTTTCTCTTTCTTTCTTTCTTTCCCTTCCTCCCTTTCTAAAAATATCAATGGAAATGTAGAAAAAAATCAAATGAAAATATAAGCTGGTGATATTGACTGAAGCATTGTTTGTAAGGGCGAAAGATTAGAAACAACTCAAGTGGTTTCCAATAGAGAGGTGGTTACACAAAGCATGGTATGTCAATACTAGAAAGTACTATAAAACAGTCTTAAAAGAGAATGGAGTAGAGCAACAAGACTGCACGAGAAGGCAGATGTTAAGTTGCTGAACAGTATTAAGTATAATTCCAGTTTTCTTGGAAAAAAAAAAAAAAGAGCCATTTGTACCCATATACATATATTTTGAGTGGGTAGGAAAAAAAGGTCTGGAAGAGGTGACCTAAGCTATTAGTAGTACTTACACTTAGGAGGAGAGGTGGGGTTAGAGAAGGAAGGAAACTTTATTTTAGACATCTTTGAATTCTTTCTTTCTATGAGCATGTGCTAATCCTGAATAATAAAAGCCTAATATGCTAAGTATTCAGACATCTGTTTAACCAACCAAAGCATAATATGCTAATGATATACTAAGGCTGCTCAACTGCTTGCTATGATGTGCACTGACCACCAGAGGGCAGACACTCCAACCGGTAGGTTAGCTTGCTGCTGGGGTCTGGCCAATTGGTATTGAGTGAGATGGGCTGGACACACCCTAAAGCTCTTCAGAGGTCCCTCCCTGGGTGGTCAACCTCCTGTGTTCTCCCCCTCCCCCAGGCCCCAGTTGGGTCCCTTGGCCTGGCCTTTCAAAATCTGGGACCCCTCGGGGGATGTCAGAGAGCTGGTTTCGGCCCCATTCCGCAGGCCTGGCAGAGGGACATCACAGGTGCATGGGCCTCTAGTTTTATGATAAAAGCATCAATTAAAAAATCTAACTTTGAAGAATAAGTAAATATTTATTTGATTGAACTATGGGTAAAACTGAATAGTTGTTTTGATGAATTATTTATATGGGTGAACTTAGAGTTTTCAAATGTTAATGACTCTGTTTTGTAGCTAGCTATATCCTTTCTTTTATTTAATTATTGTTGATATTATAACTATTATCTAGGCATTCTTGTATGTTTTAAAGGAAGTAAATTCTAGCTAGATTTTGTGTTCTGGCAAAATAATCTAATTGCCTTTGTATTTCACCTGATGCCAGAGTCACCAGGAGGCGCATTTGGCATTGAAAAGAAAGCTGGAGAAGGAGGTGTCAGTCACAGCGTCTCCCAGATTTGATTTACCATCTGAGTCCCACAAGGGAGCCCTGCATTTTTACATTTCCTTCTGCTCTGCTCTCATGTGTAGTCTGTGTCTTTAACCAACTACCACATAACAGATCAAGTTGGTTCAATTCCAGAAGGATTTATTTTTTGACTACTGTCTTTGGTGCTGAGGACAATTATAGCATAGAATCCTTGTGTCTGGTTGAATGACAAAACCTAGAAAAAGTTACTAGTTATACAAAGCACTTATACCCCTCCATCCAATTATCCATAAGATGATTCAGGTCAGAGTGCATGTCTTTGTGACTCCTCCAATGCCTGGAATATAACATGCACGCAATAAGTTAGAGGTCACAGTGTTTGGCCTGCACATAAATTTAAAAATCAATGAGCTCAATGGATAGAGCGTTGGCTTGGGGACTGAGAGGTCCCGGGTTCGATTCTGGTCAAGGGCATGTACCTTGGTTGCGGGCACATCCCTGGTAGGGGGTGTGCAAGAGGCAGCTGATCGATGACTCTCTCTTATCCATGTTTCTAGCTCTCTATCTCTCTCCCTTACTCTCTGTACAAAATCAATAAAAGTATATTTTTTAAAAAAATCAATGAGCTGACAATAAAGATTCAATACAAAAATGTTGCTTATCTAGCTTCTCTTGAATTATTGGAAGTTTCAAGTGGCACAAGACATTTGGCTGGAACTAAATGAGGGCGCCTATCTTAGATGGGCATGCACTTACCGACAAATGTTATTTCTTTCTACTCATGTCTCTATCAAACAAAGGATAGGCCAGAAAACCTGCATGTTTTTTAAAAATGGGAGAGAACCAGGGCTGATGTTCAGCTGGCATATGCTGGTGGGAAAGACTTCGATATTGGTGGGTAAATTTGCCGTTCCTGACTGAGTGCCCCAGCATCTGTGAGCTGCTCTGCTGTACTAGGCACTTCAACATTTCCCCTCCTGCCCCCGGAGAAAATGTTTCTTTGTGGAGCAAAGAATATTCCTACATATTTTAACATGCAAACGTATGGGTTTGTGAGGGGAAAAGGTGAAACAGAAGACACCAATATGAAAGGAGCTATAGTTTCCTTGACATTTTTGTGATACCTGCCTGCCCTGTGCAGGGGTGAGAACTTACGGTTCCTGCAATTTCTCAGAGGTTGACTGAATTGAATATGTACACCCGGAGATCAGTGGAAGGAAGATCATGCCGAGCTTTGAGTGGAAGGAAAAAACTTATTTTTTAAGCCTCTGTTTAATTGTGTACTCTTTCTGTGCTCTGAGCATTTCACAAACACCCCCTTTTAATCCTCACAAAGCCCTGGGGGTTATTACCATTTTACAAATTGCAAAACTTAGGTGCAGCAAGTTAAGAACTTGCCCCACGTCATGGTGGGTGGAGCTGGGATTGAAATTCAGATCTTTCAACCATTCATTACCATTTAGTTATACACACACACACACACACACACACACACACACAACACACACACACACACACACACACACACACACACACACACACACACGGGCAAGGTCCTGAAAGATAATTTGAGTTTACAAAAGGAAAAAGAAGGCGGGGAGTAGGGCTGAGCTGTCTACAAAAGAGAATGGTATGGGCCATGGTATACATAAAATACCAAATGTATTGGGATTGTTTAGTGATTCTGCTTGTGTCATATAGCAAATAGGGCACTTAAGATGTTCGGTTTATCCAGCTCTGTTTATAACTTTTGATGTGAATCAGAAAGTACCACTTAAAGTCTCCATGCCTCAGTTTCCTCCCTTAAAAATTCTTTCTTGCAGGTAAAATTGAATCTAGCTTTGATTACTATGGTAAAGTATTCTGAGCTCAGTGGAAGCCAGATGTAACAGTTTAGATCATTGTTCAGCAAGCATTCACTTTACTTCTTCACCCCATTGAGGTGCGGTTGGTCATATGACTTGCTTTGGGCAATGAGATGTTAGCAGACATGATGTGAGCCAAGATTTGAAATGTGATGGGGATTGCTCCCTTGGATTTTGCCAAAGAACAGTTATGAAAATAACATGCCCTGATTAGCCTGCTTACCCAAAGATAATGACCTTTTTCATTTAGGGTCTCTCAAAATGGACTTGGGGAATTTGAGAACTCTTCCCTGATACTTGGCTGACACTCTCAAGGGGGAGAAATATGTTCTTTTAAAAATTTTACATGGTGAATCGATGTTGAGGGGGTGTGTATTCAAGTGACTAAAAGAGGTTAGGAAGTGCATTAGCTGAGCTTGGACGTCAGAGGGGTAGATTCTATATTTCAAGAGAGGAGAGTCAAATGCTGGGAAGAAAATAGGGAGGCACTTTTTTTTTTTTTTTTTTGAACTGCTTTCTGATGATCTGATAAGCTGGGGAAGGCAGGAATTTGATTAGCCTTTGCATTTAAGAGGCCAGAGGCAGTTTTATTACTTCTAAGAAGTTATCTTAGTGTTTATTGGAAAAATGGCCACAGAAGGTAGGTGCAGACATTACACTACCTTAAAAATATTCCCTTGGAGTATGAACTTTCTAAATATTCTCCCAAGAATGATACCTAATAACACAGAACAATAATGTTCAGGGTCATGGCTTCAGGTTCAAAGAGTACTAAGAATTAGAATAGAGTTTGGAATGGTTCTAGATAAGAGTTATTGATAAAGCCAGCCCTTAATGTAGTCAAATTTATAGAGGTGAGCCAAAGACCTTGCCCTCTTAGCTTAATGACATACATTTTGTTACTACTTTGCAACCTGAACTTTAAAATATATATATATATATATATATATTTTTTTTTAATTGATTCAGAGAGGGAGGGAGAAGGAGAGAGAGAGATAGAAACGTCAATAACAGAGAGTCATTGATTGGCTGCCTCCTCACACCCCCTACTGGGGATTGAGCCTGCAACTTGGGCATGTGCCCTTGGCCAGAATTGAACCCGGGACCCTTCAGTCTGTAGGCCGGCGCTCTAGCCACTGAGCCAAATCAGCTAAAGCCAACCTGAACTTTTTTGAAACCATTGGTTATTGGTATTCCCATAATCATAGCAATCAAGATGAAATGCTTAATTTCCTACAAGTGAAAAGAATACAATATACTTTCGTTTTTACAATACATGATTTTGTGGTTGTACTTTTTTTTTTTTTTTTTTTTAATTCTTCCAGTTTCAAAGTCAGGTATTATTTCATCTAATTTCTAACACATTTATCTCTTGGGTTCTGAAACTTAGTTGTTAAATGATGTCAGGCCATCACATCTGGACTGTCAACCTAACTGGAATCCCAGGAACACGTTGGTTCTGGGAGATTTCTCGGCGCTCTGTGGGCATTCCGGAAACACTGCTTGTTGAAGGTGGGATAGTGTCACTGGAGACCCGTCCCCTTGCTTTAAAATTTTAAAACTGATTTTCCATGATTAACACTGTACTCCAAGAATGTGGGAGAAAGGTAGAATGGCCATGAAGGCTGAAATCATGGCTGGCTTCTGTCTTGTAAATACACTGCCTGGCACCTCCTCTGGGTATTGTCCCAACATGAAGCTTATATATATATATATATATATATATATATATATATATATATATATATATTATTGATTTTTTACAGAGAGGAAGGGAGAGAGATAGAGAGCTAGAAACCCCGATAAGAGAGAAACATCGACCAGCTGCCTCTTGCACACCCCCTACTGGGGATGTGCCCGCAACCAACGTACATGCCCCTGACCGGAATCAAACCTGGGACCTTTCAGTCCACAGACCAACGCTCTACCACTGAGCCAAACCGGTTTCGGCCCAACATGAAGCTTTTTGGTGATATCACAGCTGCCTCTGAAGACAGGTGGGGCTGACAGTGGGTGAGTCACTGTGAGAGTTCACCCTCACAGAAGTGGGGTTTCCTGGATGAAAGCAACTCTTTGTTGACTTTATAAACTCACTGCTTTAAGACCCCGGGACATGAGTTATAGAGATACAACGTGTGCTGGAAGGCCAGTTGTTGATCCCTGCTTCCCAAGATACGTATCTCTAAGTTATTATTTCAGATAAGACCAAACATCTATATAAATTGTTAGACACCAATGATTCTTGGCTTATGTGGACTAGGAGTCCCATCTACTGCAATAGTTACTAAACTTTTTGTTGTTGTTGTTAATCTTCACCCGAGGATATTTTTCCATTGGTTTTTAGAGAAGGGAGGGAGAGAGGGGGAGAGAGAGAAATAGGAGAAAGAGAGAGAGAGAAATGTCCATGTGAGAGAGACACATTGATTGGTTACCTCCTGCATATTCCCTGATGGGAGGCAGGGGATGGCCCATGACCAGAAATTGAACCTGAGACCCTTTGGTGTGAGGGCTGAGGCTCTAACCACTGAGAAACACTGGCCGAGGCTATTTAGCATTCTAAAAGATAACTTGAGATTCTGACAAAAGCAGATTTATTATTTGTTTCTGAATAGACTGTTATTCTAATTTTGTGCCAAGAGAGTAATAATAACTAATATTTGCATACTGCTTTACAAGGTTGCAATGTACTTTTCACATATTTTAATAACATCATTTATGATGCCAAGTACTATGTTAAATTAGGTTCTTGAAAGACATTTTTTTTCTTTACACCTTACAGCAATTCTATGACTAAATTCCACATTATCCAGATATTACCTTTAAAAAGGCTTAGAATAAAGGAATCGAAAAAGCACAAAGGAAATGTCAAAAATAGCATGGCAGGCAGCACCTCTCTTATCAGCTTTTCCCTCCAAAGTGGGATTTTAAAGCCAGATTCATCCAGCCATAGCTACAGAATCATAAAATGGGAAGGGATGTCAGAGCGAACTCCATCTAATAAAAACTGAAAATGCATGTAGATTTTGGAAAAATAATTCATATCACAAAATGCTATGGGTAAAAAAACTCGGAATTATATCCAATTAGATTCTGGGCTTACACTAGACTTCTATCACCCATCTGTTTTATTCATCTCTCTATGGTTTCATTTGCCACAATTCTAATATAAGACACAGGATTTGTCATTTCCCTTCTTTTTCTCCTTTGGGAGGCCAAGATTAACTCCGAAAAGGGAGATGGGCTGCGTCTGCATTTTACAGGGTTACTTGGTCCTTAAATGGAATTGTGTTTGCCCTCACCTCCAAGGAGCTCTGGGAAACTCATCTGCCTTCAGGAGACACATTTGGCATTTCTCTATCTACTCTCGTGGTGGGATAATATTTGACACATTATTTTTTTACCTCTCTCTGTTTTCCCCTTTTCCTTTCTCTCCTCTATTCAGTCAGAAAGCTGTCTGTCTGTGTTAATTGCCCCAGGGGAGGCACATTGTGTGGCACAAAGCAAAGGAGTCCACAATCTTTCTGGCTTTTGTTTTTCACAGGCCTAAAGTTTTAAAGGAAAGAAATTTCTAGAACTAGACGGAAGGATTTGAAAAAACAAAAAGGGGGAAGAATTTTTTCCAAAGTGAAAAGACTGAAAAGAAATGTTCTTTGGTTAATGGGGTTAAGGGACAGATGGACACACACACACACACACACACACACACACACACACACACTTTGATGCCTTGTCAGGGTATTCTAGAGCTGTGGTACAAGTCTGGGAAAAGGCAGAGGAAATATCACAAAAGACTGAGGTTAAGTACAAGTACCCTGTACCCCCACCCACAACCTATCCTAGTATAATAGAATTCGGGCTCAGAATCAGAAACTATGCTGAATTATCCTATATAATGAAAGGGTAATATGCAAATTGACCATCACTCCAACACACAAGATGGCTGCCCTATGTGGACACAAGATGGGCACCACAAGATGGCCAGGAGGGGAGGGCAATTGTGGGCAATCAGGCCTACAATGGAGGGCAGTTGGGGTCAATCAGGCTTAGAGGGGAGGGCAGTTGGGGGCGACCAGGCCAAGGGAGGGGAATCAGGGGTGACTGGGTCAGCAGTATAGGGAAATTAGGGGTGACTGGAACAATAGGGGAGGACTGTTGGGAGCGACCAGGCTGGCAGGAGAGGGCAGTTAAGGGTGAACAGGCTGGCAGGGGAGAGCAATGGGGGCAATCAGGCCTCCAGGGGAGGGCAGTTGGGGTGACCAGGCCAGCAGGGGAGGGCAGTTAGAGGCAATCGGGCCAGCAGGGTAGCAGTTAGGCATCAGGCTGGCAGGGGAGTGGTTAGGGGGTGATCAGGCAGGCAGGCAGAAGTGGTTAGGGGAATAAGGCAGGCAGGTAGGCGAGCAGTTGGGAGCCAGCCATCCTGGATTGTGAGAGGGATATGTGACTGCGCATCAATGGGCAGTCGGACATCCCTTGACGGACATTCCAGATTGGGGAAGGTGAGGCTGAGCTGAGAGACATCTCCCTCTCCCCCCATGCATGAATTTTGTGCAGTAGGCCTCTAGTAGACAATAAAAGGTTATATCTCCTGTACACTTGAATTTGTGGGTTGAGATTCACATCTACCATACTAGTTAAAAAATATTATATCATTACACTATTACATATATTATACCATTATATCTAATTGCTTAATTAGGTAAAAATATTCAAACTATTTAAGTTTTCAAAAAACTATACAAGTTTTTAAATATTATAGAAAGTATATTCAAATTTGAAATAAAAATAGGTGCATAGACCTAAAGAATAAACTTAAATACTATACACTGCTTGAAGGACTTCAATTTTTCCCTTAATTTTTTTCTTCAAACCTTAATGTCCCACAAATAATAGGTATTCCTTTTATAATAAGTACAAGACAATAAACACTGTAAAATAAGATGAGATTAGTTTACACTTTACACTGAAAATACTGCACACTGCTTTTATGGAAAAGGTCAGGGAGAGAAGACTCCTGCCATTCTCACACACTTCTGCTGATATGATGGCTGGAATAGTAATTCTTTCCTCCCTTCAGGATATTATTGTCAAAATGGTGCTTAAAAACCAGGCCAGATGTGGAGAAAGAGCAAAAAATAAATAAATGAAAGAAGTGAAAAATGAGAAAAACCAAATATGCATCATTTGGGATGGAGAAAAATGACAACATCCTCACACTTTCTTTTTTCATATAATGTCTTATGTAAAGTAAGGACTTAGCAAATAATGCCCAGAAACAAACAAGGAAAGGAAATGGGCTAGCATTCCTGACAATAAAGAGGACAAAGGAAGCTCTGGCTAATGAACGTGATACATTTTCTAAATAAAACAGTGATGGATTAGCTGAGGAACTCCAACATGTAGACTAGTGAATGTCAGAATGGATTAGAATGTATTATCATAGGAGGATATGTAGAGTATCCCTTCAGAAACAAGGATAAGCAATTCTGATTTTGACTTAGTAAGACAGTTTACATTTTAATATATAAAATTAGCGTTTTTTCCTAGTCTACGCTTGGAGGGCAACTGGATAAGTAGAACAAAAAGGTATTCCAAGAAAAAATTATAAAAATGGCAGCAAATTCGAATTGTGCTACATATTAAAAGTATCTGAACTAGTTATTTCTCAAGTAATTTAAATCATGCATTATTATTTAGCACTTAATACTTCCTATGTCTCTTAACAAATCTACGTAACATTAATATAAATTATAGTGATGGAAGATTAAAAAGCATTGACAATAATTTCCACATATTTTAACTTCATATTCCACGAAGAAACTCCTTTTATTATATTTGCTTGGATCCAATTGCTTTACTTTCAGCCATTTCCTCAAAACTGAAAGCAAGCATGGAATTCTCATTGGCATAGACCATGAATTCTCCACATACTTATGATTTCTCGGTCCAGTCCGCCTCCTAAGATTGTACTTACCCTTGGGAATGTCACTGAGTTTATTTCTCCGAAGAACTAGCAGTTTTAGATGTGGGATCCCACTTCCCACGCTGCTTCTGTGGCGTTTCCCCCAGGAGCACCCAGGCCTGGGTAGATCCAGGGAGATGGAGCGGATGGCATTGTCGCTGAGGTTTAGGGTTTCCAAACCAGGGAAATGTGCGAGGGAGCTTAAGGCTATTTCCAACATGAGGTTGTTACTGAGGTCCAGATGTTTGATGCTCTGTTTTTCTTCGTTTGTGGGAGGTTGGAAGAGACCCTTAAATAAAATGGGACTTGCATCTACTGTGGCTGCTGTCTGTGATATGTCCACAGGCATATTCTGCTTTCCAGTAAAGAAACAATTCGTCAGACGGTATCCATTCCACTGGCACTCAGAATTGAAAAAAATACTGCTTTTCCTTGCTGGGTTTGTCATTGTTCCAGTAAAATAAAGACCCAGAACCATGGCAATGGCTCTGAAACAAAGGTTTTTCATAATGCCTGGAGAAAGAAAAATGAGTTGACGTATTCATTATAACACGTAAAAACTAACAGCAAATAAGCAGAAAATTTACTTTTTAAGATCAGGGCAAATTATCTTGCCTTGATGCCAATTTAAGTGAATGTTTGATTTCTTAGAAATTTCTTAGAAATAACAGCATTAAAGTGTAGCTACCAAAAATGGTACAATTATAGTTTAAAACTATAATACATTTATGTCACATTCTACTAAAAGAACTCCCCCAATTTTTCAGAAAAATACGTATTCTCTTGGGCCTCACCTCTGTGCCTGCTTTTCCAGGACCATTCACGCTGCGGTCTGCTTTGGAATGAGGGAAACCTACCAAGATCAAAGGCTTCTCTGCTTCCTTGCTGGTCATTTGAACAGAGCAAAGTCTAGTATCTACAACACTAGTATCTACATAATCAGCCACGTGACTTCCTGTGTGAGTGGCAGGCCATCCAGTTACACTGAACTGTGAATCTGTTTGAGTGGAAGGTTCAACTCACAGATTTGTCTGACTTCAAATCCTTTTGAAATCATTTAGATATATTCAACATAAATAAATGGTTATAAACATAAATTTCAACAAAAATTTATGGTTATAAAAATTCAACATAAATTTATGGTTATAAAAAGGGTGCTCTGCCTCTGAACCATGAAGATGTATCTATACATAAAACCCTGATATGCAAATAGACCGAATGGCAGAACAACCGATCAACCAACCAACCAGTCGCTATGATGTGCCCTGACCACCAAGGGGCATGCGCTAAACATGGTGGTGTCAGCAGGTGGAAGAGTGTGGAATATGGCAGGCATTGGCGGTGGCGGGATGGTGGAGCAGGTGAGCAGAGATGCTAAACCAAGGTGGGGTGCCAGTTGCTGTTATTGGGGTGAGCCTCTGGTGGTTGCTAAATATTCTTTGCTCCCATCTGCTGTGGTCCTGCTGGGCACTCGCACCTGTTGATGGTGCTGGCCCTTCTTGCACCCACTGCCGGTGCTTGGCACCAGCCCCAATTGCTTGGCACAAGCAACGTGTGTGAGTAGCAGCTGCCACCTCTGAGTGCCCCTGAGGGGCAATCGGGGCACATCAGTGTGTGCAAACGGGGCTGGCACCATCAGCACATGGGAGCAGCGTCAGCAGGAGCGGGGCTGCCAGCAGAAAGGGGATGGGGAGCTGTGGTGGGAGGGCCTGGGAGAGGGCACGGAGGATAAGCTGAGACCTGCCCCTGTGCCTACCGCAGGCTTGCGGCCCACAGTTTCTTTTAAGGTACACGAATTCATGCACTGGGCCCCTAGTTAAGATATAAACATCAAGGATCTTTTTCACCAAAGATTTCTGAGAAGCAATGAAAAGTTTTAAAACAAATATTTACACATCTCAATGGCTAAATATATACACGAATATTTTAAAAAGTAAACGGATAATTTTTTATTTAATGATACTAAATTCCATGAATCACTCCATTATTCAGGATGTAGGCTTGCACAAATTGTCCCTTTCTGCTCTAATGGCACCATTTAGTTCATTACTGGTCTGAAATCTTAGAATGGCTTACCTATTTCTCCTGCCTCTTGATTTTCCTCCTTCTTGGCCCATTCAATGGGGTATTGCCCCGTAACACTGTTTTCCTCATATCATTCCCTCATTGAAACGCTTCAAGGAGCTCCTTAGTCCCTCAGGTTGGCTTGCAGGGCTAGCTAACCTACGGACCACTTAGATACCCGTGGAGCCGTTACAAGACGTGGCTGTGCTCAGCACTATATATGGATATCTCATGCTGAAATGAGCTTTCGTACATTCCTAAATCCAAGCTCCACACCTTTTCCTCTCCTCACTCCAAATCCTACATATGGCCTGAAGACCCCTTTCCCAGCTTTAGTCTATTTTCTCTTTTTAGAAATCTTTCAGTAAATACTTATGAATGGATGCATTAGTAACATTCACTTGACAAAATATCAATATTATCCTGCATTCCTATTTCTTCGTTTTGGGTCTGTTTTAAACTCCCTGGAAGGCAGTCAGTTCCATAAGGGCCATGTTTTCCACCTGGTTTGCTGCATATGTAAATGGCTCCCTCGTGTTTTACATTTTTAATAGTCTGCAGTCTGTTGTGGGGCTATGCTCTCTGTTCGGATGAATGCACGCAGCGAATGAAATGTACCAGGCAACTTTTAAACTTTGTTTCACATAAGGTCAATGCTCCACGTTTTGAAGGGCATCTAAATTGAGAGGCAAAGGTGCACTGCAGCATGGAGAGGTGAGTTATTTTTATGTGGCTCTTGTGCAATACCAGACATTGAATTAATTTCTAGTTGGAAAGGTATTTGTTTCTACAACGAAAGCTGCAATCGTTATATGTACAACTGTCTACCAAACTAATGCAATATCAGCAATAAAAAATATAGTAATTCACAGGCATGCTACTTTCCAATATTGAACAGAAACATTTGGTTAAAAAATACTTAAGGGGAGATAAATTAAAGATTTTCATGGATCTGGTCCTTTCTAAGTTAAAGAGGTCTATACATTGACTAATAGATTGGAGTTCAAAACAGCTAGATAATGGTAATCTTATGTCCTACAGTGAAAGTTATTACTATGTAAAGAAAAATGATATGTACTACATATACTAGTAAGCTTATACATATTAGGTAAAGAACCCCTCAGAACTTTAGAAAAATTTTCTGAAGAAATGATAAACAACTTGGCAAAATATAAATCATTAAATGGACACATTCAAGCTAAAGTATGAGGAAGCAGAACCACTGGGTGTGTATGGGTGTCAGAGATCGAGATAAGGGAGGGCAGTAAAAAAAAAAAAAAACAAAGTAAAAAGGAAAGAGTTCATTCTTATACAAAAGGAAGAGAGGTTAAAAACACACAACAGCAGCACTGTTTCTGGGCCATACCTTCTGATCTTCAGGTAGTTTCCAGATGGGTCTCTACCTGGATCAAGCGAGGTGGGAATTTTAGACTTGAGCCTCTGAGGCTCCACCCATCTGCCCATGGAGCCTGCCCGGTGGCAAACCTTCACCCTTTCATCACAAGGCCTGGCCTCTTGCCACAGCACAGCACATGCCCCTGGGACACTGAGGGAATGCACAGAGGGGGGTAGACTATCCGAGCTGCACAGCTTCTACTCTGAGCTGGAGGATCAGAGATTACAGATACTGACAGTGCTCCACTCTCAAGCTGTATTTAAACCCATCATGTGTGTCCGATCATATGGAAACCTGATAATATTTTAACCATTAAAAAATTAACAGCCAACAGTTGACAGAATCTTTATTGTAAACAGAGGTCATTAATAGTTGTTACAAACTGAACTGAAATTCCAAGTTAGCAATCTGAATCAGATGGATAGGTTTATTTTTGTTTGGCATACCTTGTCATCTTTGCGCCCGCAGCACTTTAAACAAGATTGCTAACGTTAGCAGCATATCAATGGTCTCCTTTATGTCACGTTTAGCACCAGAACATCCTTACCCACTTAAGAAAACTCATTCAAAACAAGGTAGAACTGCCAAAGTTATTTTATCATCAAAGTTATTACACAAGTATTGTTTTACAATGAAAAGAATACAAATAAGTATATTTTAAGTAAGACAGACCATACATGGGCAGTCCCCGCCTTTGTCGTTTTGTATTTTCCTACCCGCTCTAAAGTATCTTGCTTTTATGCCATGTGTCCCCCTGACCCCTGCAATCCACCTCTGAATACTGCACTAGCCACCTCCCCCAGCCTGCTGCTAGTCACCGCAGCTCTCAGCGTGGGGGAGGAACAGCTGGTAGAAGGAGGAACGCTAACATTTCAGTTTATAGAAAAATACCATCTGGTGGAGAGAATGGGTAGCTGAAGCTTTACTGTTATGCAAAGTAGGTCACAGGTAAAAAGGATGGTTTGTTCTTGATCTGCTCTCTGTGAATCTTCCACTCTACACTTTAGTGAAAAGGCAAGGATGACCTTCAAAGTGTCCTCAAATACCATACCTGTTACCTTAACAATCAGTTTTGTAAAATATCAAAATATCCTCTAGTGTCAAAAGCACTTAATGGAGATGTATCAAAAACAGAAGTATTTCTCAAAGAGGAGCAAAAATAGATTTCATGAATTATATTCAATAAATAAAACATTGTTAAGTGTTTTGTAGTTTTTGTAAAAATATTTAAAGAAATATTCAAAACAAATCTGAATAGAGCAGACAAGTGATGAATGTAAAACTTAAAAATATACTAAGCATCTGAATGAAAATTTAAATGATTTTTTTTCTTGAATATCATTCAGATGTTAACAATAGTTGCAATGATATTCAGACACTATTTGAACATATTAAAATAGTGTCTGAATATCACTGCAACTATTATACCCAGAGGTCAAAAATTTCATTCTCTTTCTTCTTCATCTAAAAACTGCACTCAGTATTGTATAGCAAGTCAGTTTCTATTTTTGTAGACATTAGTACACTACTCATAATCTCTAAGGCATTTGGTTGTTCTGTCAAGAACTGTAACATACTGAATGCAAATTGTTTTTGTATTGATTTTCCTATCTGCACAGCTCAAAGTGCCCATTCCAGAATGCAGGCCGGGGCCAACAATTTATCACTACTGCCTCCTTACAGAACACTACCTCAAGGTCTCTGTCCCTGATACTATGCATGTCTTAATAATACCAGAGAGTGCCTTTCAAGTTGAATAGAAAATACATTAAAAATCACTGACTTGAGGGTTGAAAATCGTTACAGTGGGATGGTGATGTTAGAACAGAGATCAATTCTCATACTTAAAACTGACATGTATTATTTTCTGCACTGCACCCTTAGCCCAGTGCCTCCCACTGTCTTCCAAGGCGTGGCACACATGAAAGGGGTAGTAGTCATACGGCGCACACTGGGTGAGCCTACCAGCCACTGCAGGACAGCAGGACTTGCCACTTCTTGCTGCGCTGCCCGGGGGGCTGAGGGTGGAAGTGTTTGGTGGACATGTTCAGGTGCTCCGGTGCGCCATGCCCACCAGTCTGGAAACTGGATAACTCATAACCAGCCAATTTGGCATTTTGGAACTAGCTTAGGAGAGTTTAAAATCTGAAAGGATTGGCCTTTTTTTTTTTTTTTTTTTTTTTTTTTTTTTAAAAAAAAAACATGAGGCTGACTGTTTTTTTTAAACTAGAGTATTTTTTTTTAAAGTTTACTGTCTAAAGTTGATTTGATTTTTATCTGTAAGTCTGAATTTGTCTTTGTTCATCTTTGTAGAGTTTTAAATAATTAAAACCAACGCAGTAAGTGAAAATAACAAGGTATTTGGATGCAAGTGTATCTAGGTTTGAATCCCAACTCTGCTATTTTCTTACCAATCAGTGACTGTGAGATCAGGCAAGTTTCTTAACTTTCTGATCCTCAGTTTCCTAATGGTAAAAACTGGGACAATAATGTCCATTGATGGAACTCGCGTGAGAATTAGAGGGAGCACACACGCAACGCCTAGACAATGCTTAGGGTGTATAAGAAGCTTAGTGAATGACAACTGTCATCTAAAATTAAAGCTAGGCTGGTATTTCAATTTCTACCATGTGGTGAACAGTTAATATTTATTAATATTTAACAAGTAAACATCCTATCACAGAGTATTTTCTTCCTAGTGCAAACTAAGGGACCACGGTCTCTTACTGCCTCACATATGTGCAGTGAGAATTGGCTGAAAGTTAATGCACTAAAAACCTGTCCTGCCTCTCAGAAGCCAAAAGAGAGCGTGTAACATTTACTGACAGTGCACCTTTTAAACATCTCAAGGGGGTCTCTGCCCATTAGTTACCAAAAGCTTACTTACATCAAATCTAACAGTTCTTCAGCCCTTCCTCTTTTAGACAAGGAATAGTGAAGTTTTAAAAACACTTTTAAAAATTGTGGATTTTATTCACTTCTGATAATTAATTTAGAAAACGTTAACTTGAAGATCTGTGCAACTTAATGAAAGGTGTATTAAAATTAGGCTCTCTGAGACTGTTTTAAAGGTGGAGATTGTATAATAGATACAGTAGTGCTCTGCAGATAAAATAATTACCAGTATCACAAACTCTGTAAAAACATAATTGCATGCATACTCTTAAAAAAAAGTCAGGCCAACATCTGAACATGGTGAGGACCTCGCGGGCTCTTCTAGTGAGTGTTCCCACAGGGGTGGTCTGAGACCTGGCAGCCCATGTTCGGGCCCGTCACTTGCACTCTGAAGAGAGTCCCGTCGGCGCACATGCACAGCTTGTAGCGCACCCACTCCCCAGCACCGAACTGGTCCCCGCTGGAGGAAGTAGGCAGGCGCGTGGTGCTGACCATCACGGACCCATTGAGGATGATGCTGTTTTCCTAGGAGGAGAATAATAACAAGACCTATTTACCTCCATACAACAAGTTTAATAAACAAAACTTAACTGGAACATTAACAAGTAAAGAAGGCAGCAAGAAAGAGGTTAAGTCATGACCAAAACGACAACAAAGAAACCAAAACTAAAGTCAAGATTCAACCAGTGACCTCTTACTAATCGTTTACAACGTGTACCAACACACCTGTTACACAATTTACTTCTCGACTACTTGTCAGAATTCCTAAGTGCATGACGAGGCTGATGTTGATAAGGTCTCGGACCATTTTGTTTACTTCCTGAGTTTTCCGTTACTGCTTGGTAGGTTTCTGAGGATGATAAGAATTTTCTCCTAGAGAAAATTAACTTTAATTTCCACTGTTTTTGCAACACATGGATGAAGATTCAAGCCGTGTACTCTTGAAGACCAGAGCACTCCAAGGAACTGCCTGGAGGGCTCTTTCTTCTTCAGTTCCAGGAACTTTCTTGTATCACTGGCCCTTTCTGTCTCCCTTCTTTGCTCTCTGTTTCCTTTTCTTTTTTCATTCCTTCAAGTAATTACTAAATGTCTACTCTGTGTTAGACACTATTCTAGGTGCTGGGGATACAGCAGCTAACAGGCAAAGTCCAAGTTTTCCTGCGGCATTTAAATGGGGAGGGATGGACAATAAGCACAGGAAGAGGGAAAGCTAATAGGACAGCATCTGAGAAAAGTCAGCCAGGGTGCGCAGAGACAGAGTGACCAGGCAGGGTTCTACTCTACACAGGTGGTTGGGGAAGGCTTCTCTGATGAGGCCAAAGTCCAAAAGGAACTGGGTCGTGTGAAGGAGTGAGCCGCGTGTGTTAACGGGGAAGGGCACTCCAGGCAGTGGAAGTGATACACAGAAGGCTCCCAGGAGAAGATGTGCCTGGGGCTCAGGAACCAGTAGGCGGCCAGTGTGGCTGAAGCGGAGACTGAGGGGTACATAGGTAAGAGATGAGTCAAAGAAATAACCAGGGGCCACACTGTAAGGCCGAGGGATGGACTTTGGATCTAATTCTGAACTAGATGGGAAGCCATTTGTAGGGTTCTGAACAGGGCAGTGGTGTGATCTTTTGAAAAGGATCACTCTGGCTGCTGTACAGAGAACTGACTCCAGGGCCAAAGAGGAGGCAGAGTCCCATAGGAGGCTGTTCCACAGTGCAGGCAGGAAACTGGTGGTGGTGGTGGTGGTGGCGCAGCCTGAAGGCTTTGCTGATGGACTGACAAGGTTTGGGAACCTTGAAAGAAATACATGTTTGGGAGGGAGGGAGGATATCAAGACTTTAATCTTGTTGTGTTTGAAATGCCAAGTAGAGAAAGTAGTTGGATATGTGAATCTTAGTTCAAAGGAAAGATTAAAGCAGGAATTTGAGAATCATCCACTTATAGAAGGTATTTAAAGCAATGAGAGAAAGTTGGATATGAAGTAATGAAAATGGCTCATTGATCAGGAAGTGATAGTAAATGGACTAAATATAGCCCAATTTTGTTCCAATGCTGCCATCGTGTGGTCATTTAATTTTATTTCCTTTAAATTGCTAGTGCAGTTATTTTTTAAAAGCAGTTTTATAAAATTCTAATTATTAGCTTTACACTTAAAACTTACCACTAATATTAACTAAATTATAAAGCTAATTATCTTTTCAATATTGGTTTTTATTTCTTTAATTGTGGAAAAATAGATATGTGTGTATGTATGTTACAAATTATTTTAATAACTGTCATATTAAAAACAGGGAGAATTTCAAGGTAGAAAAAAATAAAAGACTTCTTATGTCACTTGCGAATGATTAGGTATAAATCTATCACAACTATTGCTTCTTTGAGTTTTTAGTGCTTCAATACTATTTGTTTAGAGGGATGTAAAAAATACCCTGTATTGCTATTGAATTTTTGGCAAGGATCACATTTTATGTCCATCTTTTTTATTCAGAGATTGTAATAAAAAAGTTGTTTATGAAGGTGAAAGAACTTAATTTTTTAAAGTTTATTTTTTCTAAGAATTATGAGTTTAAATTTAAATAAAACAAAGAATTGGAAGTGCCTGGCTAGCTCAGTCGGTAGAGCATGAGACTCTTAAATAAAACAAAGAATTATTTTACAAGTCCTTAGGTTTAAGTTCACTTTTGTCATTTAGTGCTTGGTAAAAAAAAAAAGTTAATTAGCTTGAATTAGCATATAGCAGGTGCCCAAAGACATCCTATATAATAAAAGCCTAATATGCTAAGTGTCGGGTCATTCATTCAACCAATCAAAGCATAATATGCTAATGATGTGCTAAGGCCACTCAACCACTCACTATTACATGCACTGACCACCAGGAGGCAGACGCCTGACTGGTAGGTTAAGCTTGCTGCTGAGGTCTGGCCGGACACACCCTAGAGCTCTCCCCTGGTCCCTCCCTGCTGGCCAACCTTCCGCATCCCTCCTGGCCCCAATTGATAGTGCACTGGTGGGCTCCCTCAGCCCGGCCTGTGCCCTCTCGCAATCCAGGACCCCTCAGGGGATGTCAGAGAGCGGGTTTCGGCCCGATCCTGCAGGCTAGGCTGAGGGACCCCACTGGTGCATGAATTCTTGCACTAGGCCTCTAGTTTTGAATAAATATGCTTTAACCAGAATTGTGAGCAGGTAAAATATTTTCAGACTTATTGCTCCCTTATAAAATATTTACCTATTAAAATTCAGATATAATCTTTAAAGCACAAAGAAAATCTCATATTTCCACAGCTACAATAAAGGGAAACCTTTTTCCCTTAGAATTAATAATGGATCCTATCTAATAAAAAAGTAATATGCAAGTTGACCATCACTCCAAGACACAAGATGGCCGCCACAAGATGGCATGCAGGGAGGGCAATTGTGGGCAGTTCGGGGTGACCAGGTCAGTAAGGGAGGTTAGTTGGGAGCGATCAGGGTGGCAGAGGAGGGCAGTTGGGGCAGACCAGACCAGTAAAGGAGGGCAGTTGTGGGGGCCAGGCCTGCAGGAGAGGGCAGTTATGGGTGATCAGGCCAGCAGGGAGGGCAGTTAGAAATGACTGGGCCAGCAGAGGAAGGCAGTTGGGGGAGACCAGGCCAGCAGGGAGGGCAGTTGGGGGGAGCAGGCCTGTAAGGGAGGGCAGTTGGGGGAGACCAGGCCTGCAGGGGAGGGCAGTTGGGTGGGGGACCAGGCCTGCAGGGGAGGGCAGTTAGGGATGAATGACAAGGCCAGCATGGGAGGGCAATTAAGGGTGACTGCGCCAGCAGGGGAGGGCAGTTGGGGGCAACCTGAGCCTGCGGGGGGGGGGGGGGAGGTGCATTTAGGGGCAATTGAGCCAGCCAGGGAGCACTTAGGTGTAGATCAGGCTTGCAGGGGAGTGGTTAGAGGGTGATCAGGCTGGTAGGCAGAAGTGATTAGGGGCAATCAGGCAGAGGTAGGTGAGCGGTTGGGAACCAGCAGTCCTGGATTGTGAGAGGGATGTCCAAACGCCCACCGGGATTGGGCCTAAATGGGTGGTTGGACATCCTTCAAGGGGTCCCAGATTGGAGAGGGTGCAGGCTGAGCTGAGGGACAAACCCCTCCCCCATGCACAAATTTCATGCACTGGGCCTCTAGTGTATAAATAAATAAAAATTATATATGTTTGCTAATTAATTTTCATGACACTGGATATAAAACGCAGGAAGGGATATGAAAAATCTTTAAAAGAAACCCAACTTCAGAGAATAGATATTTAATTTGATCTTTCAGAATTCTCTTTTGTAAGTTTTGTTGTTGGTGTTGTTTGGTTTTTGTTTTTATCTTTTAAAATAATATAGGTATCATCATATACATTTTTAAAAAAGAAAATGACAGGCAAGCAGAAATAAAATAAAAATAAAAGTCATCTGATATCCTGCTACCCATAGCTAACTATTGTGACATTTGGCATCCCCTTGCAGATTTTATAATTATACATGTTTTGAAATGTAAAAATGAGGCACTTTACAAATTACCTTATAACTTTCACTTCATAATCCATTTTGAACATCTTTCCATGTCAAAAAATATACAACTACATTACCATTTTTAATAATTGTACACTATTCCACATGTGGATTTATATATACCCAAGAATCTTATAATTCTCTTAAATTCTTAAAAAATACTCACTGCTTTTAGCTCCATGTCACCGCCCGTGTGAAATTCAATGGTCTTGCCCATGATGAACACTCCTTCGTTTCCACGCACTATAGCACGTCCGTCAACTTTTATATTCAAATCACTAGTGGCATTGCTTGTAATCTGAAAATTTAAAAAAGCAGTGAAAACAGCTACTAAGTTAAAGTGAATATTATCAGAGACAGAGGAAAAGAGTTAACCATGAAATATGAAAGGCAAGTGTTTTTCAATCATGTTTTACAGATGTTGAGGTAAAGCGGTGACTTGATAATGATCATATACGCTAGGTAATGACAAATCTAGAATTTACCCTTTTCATTGTTCTGGAATTTCTTTCATGCCACATAAAACAGTAAAACTCCCCTCACAATTTATACCTTTAGACTAGCAATTTTCAACCAGTGTGTCACATGAATCTTTAAAACATGCAATACCCAACTATTTAGCTAGGGGAACTAACCTCTTTTCTCTTATATTGTAAAATAAAAAAATGACTATAGCCAACACAATTAATAGTTGTCTGATGGGAATGAATCAAAATTATACCTATTTTTTGGTCAAATCGGCAGAAAACATATTTTTTGGTGTGCTCCAGAATTTTAGCAATTAGTTGGGTGTCATGAAATGAAAAAGGTTGAAAACCACTGCTTTGGACAATAACTCCCTTCCATTAATAAAACAAAGAAAATAAATCATACCCTTTCAGTAGATGCTTTTTGAACATTCAAACTTTTCACTCCACTTGGCAAATGAAACTCATGAGTTTCATAGTCTGTGCTGAATAAAATATTTTGAGTCCTTGGATCGAAAAACTGCATACCAATATCACTTGTAATAGAAGTTTTGTTCTTTTCCACACTAAGCTTTGTTGTTCCTTGCTGAAAAACAATCTTCAGGAAAACACTTCATCATGAATATATTTGCAAAGAAGACTGCATCCAAAATTCATCATGAACATTATAAAGAAACTCTATAATAACAGACTAATTTCAAATATTTTAACTGTGTCTGTCGGTCCCCCCTCCACCCGCTTGGGATAAAAATTCTTTAAAACGAGGCTTATTTGGGGTGGTGAACACATACAATGTACGTATGATGCGTTGTGGAACTGCCCACCTGAAACCTGCATAATTTTATTAATCACTCACCCCAATAAATTCAATTAAAAGAAAAAAAATAAACAGAAATAATTTAGAAAAAGTATAATCTCAACCCCCCAAACACACACACACACACACACACACACACACACACACACGCCAAAAAGAAACACAAAAACAAGGGCTTATGCATATATTTGCTTATACTGCGCTGCACAAATACTTGGGTCTAACGGGAGGTAAGGGCACATTGAGGTTCTATGCGGTTAAAGAACCTTTGCTATAGCAGCCCCTTGGCATGGGCTATCACTGACTAGATTAGCATAGTCTCTTCTAAACACCCACAAAGTAGAGAGTATCCTAACCAGGAAAGGTACTTTAAAAAAAAATACCACAAGTTCTTTTATTGATTTCAGAGAGAGGAAGGAAGAGAGAGAGACGGACAGAAACATCAGTGGTGAGAAAGAATCATTGACTGGCTGCCTCCTGCATGCCCCCTACTGGTGATTGAGCCCACAACCTGGGCATGTGCCCTGCCAGGGAATCGATCAGTTACCTACTAGTTCATGAGTTGATACTCAATCACTGAGCAACACTGGCTGAGCAGGAAAGGTGCTCTTTTTAAGAATGGTTTTCTTGCCGGAACCGGTTTGGCTCAGTGGATAGAGCATCAGCCTGTGGACTAAAAGATCCTGGGTTCGATTCCAGTCAAGGGCATGTACCTTGGTTGCGGGCACATCCCCAGTAGAGGGTGTGCAAGAGGCAGCTGATCGATGATTCTCTCTCATCGATGTTTCTAACTCTCTATCCCTCTCTCTTCCTCTCTGTGAAAAGTCAATGAAATATATTTAAAAAAAAAAAAAAAAAAGAATGGTTTTCTTGTATGGAGAAGATAGGAGTAAACTATGTATTCTTATAGTAATTATATCTATCACAGAATTTGCTACAACAGAACAAAATCTATAATATTAAGAAAGCATTTAACATTAATAGATTAAAGACCAACAATATTATTAAATATATTTATGAATTTTCCTCTCATGTCCCTCAATTAAGTCTGATAACTTACAGGCTGGTTGTTGCCAGTGATGACTAGATTTTCATTTCGCCTTCCTCCTACTGTGCTCTTGTAAAGAGGGTGGATGACGCCCATGTCAGAGACTTGCTTAAATCTAAGCAGGCCACTTTCATGAAACTCCATGCTGTCACAGCCATTCGGTCCAATGCGAATCACAGACCAGATAACAAGGGTTATCTAAAACAGAAAGCAAGCCGGCTTCTAACAGGAAGCAAACACCTAACATACTTGGAAAACAAATAGAAAAGTTCATTGCCAAAGGATAAAACATCTTAAATAGAGTTTCATCAGTGAGATGAACATATCAGTTGGTTTTTCACTTATAAAAAAAATCATTTAATTTCTATCAGGATATAATATTATATGCAAATAGCTGATGGTCAAAAAGTACTAAAAGGTCTATGATAGAAACAGAGCAGTTTATTTCTTCTACCCCTCCCATATCTCATCCATAGGACAACCACTTTCAACAATTTTGTCTAGAATTTATCTTCACATTTAAATATAATATTTGTGCATTATTTCTTCTCTCATCAGGTTTAGGTTTTATCTATTGATATTCTATTTCAATAGGTGAAAATGTTAGCACATTTATATTTCTTCTCCTCCTTCAATCTTCTGGTTAAATCCATGTTTAGTATTTTCAGTATTATGACCATATAAATATTACTCACTGCTAAGTCAAATACTATATATGGCTGCAATTCCTTTCTCGTATTTTGTGCCGCTCAGAGTTTAATACTTGTCTTCCCTTCTTTTGCTTAGTTTCTTTGAAAATCTGACTAAATCTTTCCAAACCCTCCGATATTTCTGTCAAATGTCTCTCAATAGAATGTTCTAGGAGTCCAAGCCTCCCAGAGAATTTACAAGTTCTTTTTTCCCCCTCTCTCAGGATATCTATCTGGAAACCCTATCTTCTTGCTCCAGTCTGGACTGTCACCTCTGGGTCTGCTGCACAGCTGTAATCATGAACTTGTCCTTCATTTCATTCTGGAACTCCCTTTTGTCTTTCTCCTGTGGATACCCAGTTTCCTGGTTTTCTTCAGTTTCAAAGTGATGGCTTTGGTGTGAGTCTTTTCTATGTGTTATGCTGGACCCAGAATGGTACTTTTCAATCCATTCTAGAAACTTTTCTTGATTAATTTATTTGAGAACATTCTCCCCAGTGTGTTTCCTCTTCTCTTTCTGAAGATATTAACTCCTATTAACAGAATAATACAGATCCTGGATTAATTCTTCAATTTTGTTGAAATTTCTGGAAGAGTTCCTTTTCTTCCTCTCTCCCTCTCTCTCTCTCTCTCTCTCTCTCTCTCTCTCTCTCTCTCTCTATCTCTATCTCTATCTATCTCTCTATCTCTCTATCTCTCTATCTCTCTATCTCTATCTATCTCTATCACTATCTACCTACCCACTCACTCTCCCATATCTATGAGTTGTCCTTATTCTTTAATTGCTCCTTTTTAATGGCATGTTATTCTTGTTCCATGGATGCAATATCTTCTCATTTCTCTGAAGATATTTTAGTTTTTTTATTTACTTAAGTTTTTGTCATTCATTGCACTTTCTCCATCTCCTTGAATTCCTCATTTTCCCATGGTTTGGATAGTTTTGGTCTCTAACACTTTTCAATTATAAAATTAAAAAAAAAAAAAAATACTGATCCCTGGAGGTTCAGTGTTCATATTTAACAGTGAGGCTGCAAAAAGTCCATAAAAAGTTCTGGAAGGACGGCTGGTCTAATTAGCATATTACTCTTTCATTATTACAGATATATTCATTAAAACTCAATAAGAGATAAAATACGTGTAGGGGAATAGAAAGTAAGGGGATCCTGAAAGAACTTACAGAAACAAAGTCCATCATTTCACTGAAAAACAGAGCGGAGTCCCCACGGCAATGAAAAAAAGAACACTCACAATTAAGTTGATGACGGCCAGGATGAACAAGAGGATGATCACACAGATGGCCAGGTTGCCCTTTCTCCCTCTCAGGCCCGTCTTATGGAGCCGATCTTCATCAATCGGGATATATCCGGCTTTGAAGTTACTGTTGTGCTCTTTATTGACATTCCTCCGCTCAACGGCCTTCTCACGCATGGACTTCTTCACAGGACCATTGGAACTTTGCTAAAACAAAGCACAGCACATTGGGACAGCTTTTTATTTATTTATTTATTTATTTTTAATATTTTATTGATATTTCACAGAGAGGAGGAAGGGAGATAGATAGAGAACTAGAAACGTCGATGAGAGAGAAACAGACCAGCTGCCTCTTGCACACCCCCTACCGGGGATGTACCTGCAACCAATGTACATGCCCTTGACCGGAATCGAACCTGGGACCTTTCAGTCCGCAGACCGACGCTCTACCACTGAGCCAAACCGGCGGCATGGGACAGCTTTGGATGTATTTATTTATTAAGTGCATATTCATAACCAAAGAAAGCTAACTTGGTCAGTGATATATTTTCCCCTAATAAACTTTAAATCACACTGAGTTCCAGATTCCAAGAAAGGACATTATTATGCTGAAAGGGGTGGCAGGAAGAACTTTCAGTGTGACTATCTGATAACAGATTTCCACTCTCTGCTTTGAATAGTCCTATTTCTAGTGAAGCTCATTTGGAGGAAGAGTTGACATATATACATTCTATAGTGGATAATCTTTTAATTAATGATTCATAATTACTTTAAATTATATCTGTTTTCATTTGTATGAAAAGAATTTGGAAAGGTTGACGACTTTATTTATCAAAGTCAAAACTGGTCTAACGCTAACATTATCCTAGACCAGCAGTCTTCAAAGTATGAGCTGGGGAGTCCTGGAGGGGTCTGGAGGTTGAAAACCATTTTTAAAATAACACTAAGATGTTGTTTTTCCTTTTTTATTCACCTCTCGTGAATGTACAGAGGAATTTTCCATTGGCTCCGTGATTATATGGGATGACATCATTGGTCCAAAAGCTAATGAAATTGTGCACTGTGTATTCCTGGGTTGAAATTTCCCCCTAGTTTTCCTAATATGGTAAATATCAATGGATATATGATAACACATGTAGACAAAAAGCTCTCTGAGATCCTCAGTGATTTTTAAGAATATAAAGAGTACCCGAGACCAAAAGCAATAGTATAGACCACACATGCTGTGGAGTGGAATGGGAGGAGAGGCAGGATGGCTTGGAGTTGTTATGGAAACCAGATGGAGTTGGGGGTCAGACCTCCCTTGGGAGAATAAAGTAGGAAAGTATGGCAGGCGGTGAAAGTTATGGGACTGCTGGGTACAAACTTTAAGCTTTATGCTGTTTAACTGGGAGTTATTAGAAGTTTTTGAGCATGAAGGACATGTTTCCGGATGCTAAATGTGATGGTGTTTGTAGGAGAGTTAGTAAATACTACTACCAGGAAGCAGGCTGTTGGGAGATGTTGAGGAATAGAGGTTTGTGGTAATGAAGGCCTACACTAAAGTGGAATGATAAAAAGATAGATAAAAATATACTTTGAGAGAAAAGTTAACTGAATTTGTAGCCAGGTTCAAAAAAAAAAAAAAAATCTCATGCTTACTAAATGGTGACTAGTTAAATATGTGGAATGAAGGAGGGAGGCGATTCCACAGATGTTGCCTTTGAATTCAATGAAAAATAACCACATGCCTCAAATGCAATGGGAAGGATGGGATGGGAATATTAGGTCGTTAGGACTAGAGATACAGATTTGAGAGTTCTCAGCCTTGAGGTAAGTTAAATCTATGAGACACATCAGTTCATTGTGGAAAAAAGAGTATAGAGAAGAGAACAAAGAGCTAGGGAGACAGTACTGGGAGACTTTAAGTGTGCAGGAACAATGGAAAGTAAGAAATACAATAAATGTCAAGAAAACCCAGGATGTACAGTTGCTGAACTTGCTTTGTCAGGAAGTCCCTCCACAACTTTCAAAGATGAACTCTGTATAGCAAATGGGTAAGGAGGGGAATAGTTGTGAAAAGCCAGTATGTTTACATCCATTTTTAAATCTAGAAGAAGAAAGGAAAGAAAAATTATATCTAAAGAATTAAGTGCTGTCCGAGGAAAACTGTGTTTCTCCTGCTGTTTTTGTTAGTACCTTTCCCCTCCCCAGTCTGGGGGAGCACTTGTCTATTTGACGGCAGAGGGAAAGATGTCAGAGAGGCAGAGGTCTGAGAAGAGCAGGGTAACGTGGGAAACGAGATCCCGTGGAGGCAGGGAAGGAAGTGATGCCGCGTACAGGAGAAAAGAACAGTCTTAAAGGGTGGACTCAACTTCACTGACATGGTTCACACCACTAAGGGAAACCTTTCTTTTCCCCAGCGATGTTCCAGGCAAGGCTATCTGGAATCTTACCATGTGTCAGGAGTAGTAGCAGGCTGGTTGGGGGCTGATGCAATAAGACAGGAATAATCACTGAGAGTAATGTGATTAAACTCCACAAAGCAGTAAGGAAGGCTCAATAGAATATAATTCAATCTACTGAACAGATTTTTATCCCCAAACAGAATGCTGATACAGCTGTGTAGGTTGTATATCTGCATGTGGTGCAACATCTATGTGTGTGCACTGACACAGCAGACATCTTAGCCTTGAACATGCATGTTGGTGGTTTTTTTCCTGAAGGCAGTAAACTACCTTAAGGGAGGCGTGCTTCCTTCTAATTTTCACAGACACCTGTGACAGTGCTGACAGGTGGGCAATTTCAGTCCTCGTCAGAGTTTGAATGACGGTTTACATAAAAGAGAGGCAGGGCAAAATGTATCCCTGCTGGGATGCATTCTTTAGCCTTCTCTGCTAATTCATGTACATGATTACATTCACTGCATGCATTTAACATTTGCTGAAGAGTGACTATCTGCCAGATGCTCAGACCAGCAAGATGAGCAAGACATAGCACCTACGCTCCATGAACTTACAAGCGAGTAGAGTATTAATAGATAGTCAAGGTTACTAACAGCTGCAGTTCAACAAGGCAAGTGCCCTAATGGAGCAATGTGCAGGGCACTACATGGGTACCCAAGAAGGATGAAATTCTACTCAGCAAGCAGAAGGTCATTGAAGGTTTTTTTTTAAAAAATATATTTTATAGATTTTTTTTTTTACAGAGAGGAAGAGAGAGGGATAGAGCGTTAGAAACATCGATAAGAGAGAATCATGGATCAGCTGCCTCCTGCACACCCCCTACTAAAAATGTGCCCCCAATCAAGGTGCATGCCCTTGACCAGAATCGAACCTGGGACCCTTGAGTCTACAGGCCAACACTCTATCCACGGAGCCAAACCGGTCAGGGCTCAGTTGAATCTTGAAGGATAAATAGGAGTTCGCCAGGCAAAAGTGCAGAGAAGGGTGTTCCAGGCAGGAGGAACGGCACGGAGATTGTGGGTTCAGGTCATCTCTGGGCAGACTAGTTTTGGTAGCTTTGAATGGGTGATGAAGAGGATAAGTACAGAAATGGTGGCAAAAAAAGAAAAAAAAAAGGTGAGCGATGTGGTTAGAGGCCAGTAAATCAATGGACATAAAGCACCATGTCAAGAACGAATGGACTGTATCCATAAGGTGACGGGGAACTACCAAAAATGTAAAACAGGTTAGTGATAAATCAGATTTGCATTAAAGCAAAATCAACCCAGAAAGTGCTAGACCGGACTGGAAGAGCTTAGAGTTGAAGATACCCACAGCAGGTTTCACTAACAGCCTCAAATGAGGGCTCACTGAGCTGTGGCATTGGAGGGGACAGAGACTGGGCAGAGGTGTTCAAAGGTAGAACTGACAGGACCTGGCGAGTGAATGGGACAAAGTGGGATCTACAACGACTCCCAAGTAGGACCTGCTACATGGTTAGAGGGACCTGCCTATTGCCTTTAGCTAGTTGTTCTGCACCCACTAGGCCAGTGGTCAGCAAACTCATTAGTCAACAGAGCCAAATTTCAGATTGAAATTTCTTTTGAGCCGAAACCGATTTGGCTCAATGGATAGAGCGTTGGCTTGGGGACTGAAGGGACCAGGGTTCGATTCCGGTCAAGGACATGTACCTTGGTTGCGGGCACATCCCCAGTAGCGGGTATGCAAGAGGCAGCTGATGGATGACTCTCTCATCGATGTTTCTAGCTCTCTATCTCTCTCCCTTCCTCTCTGTACAAAATCAATAAAATATATTTTTAAAAAAAGAAATTTCTTTTGAGAGCCAATTTTTTTAAACTTAAGCTTCTTCTAATGCCACTTCTTCAAAAACAGACTTGCCCAGGCCGTGGTATTTTGTGGAAGAGCCACACTCAAGGGGCCAAAGAGCCTCATGTGGCTCGAGAGCTGCAGTTTGCCGACCACAGTACTAAGCAATTTGACTTTAAGCTCCTAGAAGCAGATTTCTTGTCTTCATTATTTTATATTCCTCAGAACGTCTCTTCCAGTGACATATATCTATTAGGTCCCTAGAAGCAGTTAATTACCTACGAAAATCTTTCCAGAAAAAGAATAAAGAAAAAAAGAAAAAGAAAAAAAAAGGTTTTCTGGAAACAGAATATTGGTTACTTGATTCGGATTTATGTTTTTAAACACCGTTTAAGAATGGGACTTAAAAAAACACCTTATCACATCATAGATTTTCCCCCCACCTAAAAGAAAATAGTTCATGAAAAGAAAAAGTGACCATGAAAATTATTTTTGTTGTAAGAAATCACCCTATATACGGGTTGTCCTCCCCCCCCCAAATGTATACACACTTTACAGCTGGCAGCTCAAGTAATGTTTCTCTCTTTTCAGCTCTAACCCTATATATATGTGTATATACGTATCCTGTATAATATCATTGACACACACAGTTTCATATGTATATATCTTGTTTTTTGGAGAAAATAGACTTCGGAGCTATTCTAAGTTCCCAGTTTACCATGCAGATCAGAAAATTCTTGATAAAACATTAAAAACAAAACAAAACAAAACCCCACACCGGACAGGAGGCAGTTTGACGCGGGTGACTAAAGCTCCGAGACCCGGAGCGGGAGGCGCACCCGGCGCCCGCAGGCCTCTGGGGCAGCAGCTGCCGCCCTCCGGCGCCGTGGGGCCGCGGGCGCGGCGCTGGGGCTATTTTTACCCGCATCTTCGCCGGCCCCTGAGCCGCCCGTCCTGGCCGGGCTCCCGGCGGCCGCGGCGGCTCCGGCCTCTCCCGCCGCGAGGGCAGCCCCGCGGGCCGCGGGCCCTGCTCGCCCTCGGGGCTCGGGAGCCCCCGGGTCCCGCTGCCTCCGCCAGCAGCCGGGCGGCGGACAGCTCCTCCCGGCCCGCCCCTCCCCGCCCCTCCCCTCCCCGCCCGCCGGCCCCGCCTTCCCGCCCGCGCGCCTTCCCCCCCGCCCGCCAGCCCCACGGCGGCCCCGGCCGCCAGGATCCGGGCGCCCCTGCCCCTCCGCCCTCCGGCCGCGGCGGGGGTCTCAGACCTGCTCGGCCGCCGCCGCCGCCGCTGCCGCCATCTTCCCGCCGCCGCCGCCGCCTCCCCCGCTACGCGCCCCCCCCCCCGCGCCCCGGAGCTGCGCATGCGCCCTGGGGCCGGGGGGGTTGTTAGGGGGGCGCCCGCGGGGCGGTCAGCGCGCTCCGCCGCCCCGGCCCCCGCCGCGCGGGGGGATTCCCCGCGCCCTGGGGCCTCTGGATGGTCCCCAGAGGCACGCCGCCGCCGCTCCCGCCCCTCCGGGCCCCAGCGCGCCGGGCGGGGGCCGTCCCGGGGGGACCTGCTCCTTGCGCATCGCCGCCGGGTCTCCCCCTGGGCTGGGCTGGAAAGGGGCGCTTTCCACAGGACACGCGAGCGGAGACGGAATGGGGACCGGAGGTCTCAGATCGCCAATGAGCCACTAAAATCGTGAAAACTTAAGCAGAGTCCTTAAGGAAGGCGGTCACTTCAGGGATGCTGCCTAACTATGGAGGCCTGCAAAGTCGGATGCTTTTTTTTTTTCTTTTTTTTTTTTCTGGGGCATTGCAGGGGGCTTTGCATTCGGTATTGGAGATGGGGCATGGGGGTGGGATGGAGAGGGGGATGGTGCATAATATAACGGATAAGTACTGCCCATCAGAAAGCACCCAAATGTACAAGTTACCTGAGTGCACAATCCTTGATCCCAGACCTCAGTATGATCCAAAAATCCTCTCTGTTATTTGTTGATTTGGTTTTTTTGTTTGTTTTTAATTCAGCGAGGGTAGTAGCAACCAAGGTGCAAAAGCTGTTCCTCAGGTGGCTGAAACCACTTCTCCTAAGCAACTTTGGGCGCTAGGGCTGCCCAACGCAGCAGGAAGCACCAGACACTAACTGGCAAAACCTTTATTTCTCTTGGAACTACATCAGTTTTGCTTCCTGATGTCTGGAGCCGTTATTTCACTGCCTTGCCTACTTCACATTATAGGGTTGCTGGAAAGTTTAAATAGATAACCTGTTGCCCAGGAAACCCCTAAGAAACTCTTCCCTCTCTCCCCCAACTTTGGATCATGTGGTCATTTCATAATGGATTACCTTCAAGCTTAAAAAAAAATATTTAAAGACTACTGTGTACCTGGCAATTCCTCTTTAATTCTCCCAACAGTCATTGAGAGAGGTCATATTTCCCACATTTTTACAAATGAAGAAATCCAGACTTCTAGAGGTTAAACAGCTAACCAGGTGTTCAACGAATAAAGAGCCAGGGTTGAATCTGGGTCCACCTGACTAAAGTCTTGGCTCTCTCTACCATATAAGAGTCTTTCCCTCTACATTTCTCTTTGCCTGTGGCATATTATCAGCATTTAGAAGTGCAAACCAAGGTGACAGTACTAGTCAGGTTATGAAGACAGTTAGCCCCTCATTCACTTTGTAGTGGCTTAGAATAGTATCTCCCCAAAGATATAGACAAGTCAGAATTCATGGAACAGGTAAATGGGATGATATTTGGTAACAGGGTCTTTGCATATGTAATTAATTTCAGGGATCTCAAGATAAGATCACTCTGGATTTTGGTGGGCCCTAAACTAATGATGGGTGCCCTTAAAACCGGAGGGAAGGACAGAGACACACACAGAGGCGAGGATGAGGTGGAGAGAGGCAGAGGTTAGGGTGATGTGTCTACAGGGCCAGGGACGGGAAGACTGTCACTGGGAAATGGGAGGGAGGCACAGAGCAGATTCTCCCTCAGAGCTTCCAGAGGAACTTACTCTGCTGGTTTCTAGCTTCCAGATCTGTGAGAGACTCTCTCTGTTGTCTGAAGCCATCTAGTTGGTGGTCACTTGTTACAAGTAGCTCTTAAGAAACGAATGCACACTTCCAGCACAACACGTCTACAAATTGGGCTCAGAATCTCTCCCCCGCCCCCCATCTGCTCTTTGTGAATTCCCTTAGTGAATGGCACCACCATCCAGCCAGAATCCTCAGACTCATCCTATACTATTTCTGCTGTGCTCTTCCTAAAATACAAAGCAGATCATGTCACTCCTCACCCTGACGCTTTAAAACCCTCCAGGACCATTCGTGATAAAAATGACTCCCCTTAGATTAGCCCATAAGGTCCTTTACCCTGGTTTCCATATACTTCGTTATGGCCTCCTTTCCTGCCCCTTTTACAACTCATTTTTTAAAAAAAAACAAACATTTTATTGATTTTTTTACAGAGAGGAAGGAAGAGGGATACAGAGTTAGAAACATTGATGAGAGAGAAACAGCTATCAGCTGCCTCCACATGCCCTTGACCTGAATAGAACCCGGGACCTTTCAGTCCACAGCCGATGCTCCATCCACTGAGCCAATCTGGTTTTGGCCCACAACTCATTCTTTACTCCAGCCGCATGCAGCGATTGCCATTCCCATTTATTTGCCTGCACATGTCAAGTTGTTAATGTCTCTGAGCCTTTGCAAACTTGGGTATTTCTCTTTTTCATCTAGCTATCCCCTTACTTGTCCACTAAACCAGCTCCTGGAACATGTCTTCTGGAAAGCCTTCCTGCATCTCTCATCATCACACATTTCTGATTCCTGTGCCCCAAGCATGTCTGTGTTGTCACACGTATGCTACTACGCTGACAATTACGTACTTGCCTGTCAGTCTTGTCTTGGAATTTATCCTTCCCCAGATTTCATTCATCTTTAAGGACTAACCTCATCTGTTCCACCTCCTCCTGCAGTAACAGCCAATCATTGTTGCTCTCTCTTTTCACCTGCTTGTGACCTCCATTTGATACTTAATAAAACACTATCTGATGTTATTTTACCTTTCACACATGCACGTAGTACGGTTTGTTCCCAAGAGAACTGTAAACTCATTACAAAGCAAAGGCAATGTGTTCCTATTTTGGTTGCTCCAAATCCTGAACATATTTGGAGACATGCAGATAATACGTACTTAGTAACTTTGATGGATAATATTGGGCTGATTTTCTTCTATTGTGTAAAAAAAAAATATTACTAATACCTGAGTGTTTCTGACATGTGTCCACTCTAATGTTCACCAGGCATCACCCCAGAGAAGAACCCCATTCACTCTCATCTCTGTGTCTCCTCTGTGTGCTTCTGGGCCCAGTCCTGGCCCCTCCAAAGTTAGCCCCTAGAACCTCCAACAGGATATGATAGAGGTACCAGATCATACTGTTTATCTATTTACAGTCCTTTGCTGCTTCCCCTATTGCCTAAAAAATAAGTCTCTTTTTTTAAAAAAATTATTGACTTCAGAGAGGAAGGGAAAGGAAGAGAGAACATCAGTGAGGGGAGAAAATCATTGACTGGCTGTCTTCTGCACATCCCACCCTGGGGATTGAGCCTGCAATCTGACTAGGACCTCCCTGTTCATAGGTTGACACTCAACCCCTGAGCCACACCAGCCAGTAAGCCTGATATATGACTCATTGTAGCTGAACTCAAAACTGTCTTTCCAATCTTTTCTCTGACTCTGTGATCCCACGGAGCTAGCATTCACCATTCCCTGCTTCCCCATGCAATTTCATGTCTCTTTGCTGCTGTCCATCCAGTTCCATGTTCTCTTCTTTTCCTGGTGAACCCCTCTCCATCATTCCAGAGCTGGCTTCCTTCTGTAGCTTCTTCTGTAGCTTTTCCTGATCTTTTCTTCAGGGGGATGGAGGAAGAGGTAAGGGGAGAGTCAGTGTTGCTATGGGATTTATATTTACCTCACGTAATTTGTCACATTCAACTATGGTTGTGTATCTCTCACACACAACCATAGTTGAATGTGACAAATTACATGCCTATAGGGTTTTCATGACTTCACATATTACTTTAATTACTCTGAGCTTCATTTTTCTGTATTTGTATAATTTTAAAAATGGACTAAATGAGTTCTAATATCTCTTGTAGTTGTGACATTTCTTCAATGCTAGGGTTGTTGTTTCTAAACATACTGGTTCAGATTGAGCAAATCTTGCCCTTTGTTTCAGTTTTTGGTTCACGGTTCAGTTCCAGTCAAGCCTTGATTTTGAGAGCATTAGCTAATCATCAAAAGTTGAGCATCTTTCTTGAGTACAATTTATTCTCTGGACTAACCTAACCTCTAAGAAACAAAACAAGGTATTTTTCCATAACTGCACTTTAAATCAATTTACACCCAGTTCCAACTGACAAAAATCTTCCTAACTCCCCAACCCCTCAGAGCTCATCACTCTCATCTTTGCGGGTTTTCTGTCTCTATCTTTCAGAAATGTTAATACTGGTGCAGTTATCACAGGATACTGTACTCATTTCTCTGCCTCCGATATCAGCTTGTGAGCTTCTTGATGAAAAGGAAGAGGCTTAGTTAGCTTTATTACCTTCAGCAGAGCAGCTGGTATGTTCTAGAGACCCTCTACATAGTTTGATACACTAAATTTCAAAAAGGGGAGAGGGAGGAAGGAAAAAAGAAAGGAGGGAGATGATTGGCTCTTTCGTATCTGACGTCACAATCCCTTTGAGTTTGAAGAAAACAAATGTAACAGCCAGTTGGTGTTCTATGGCATCATAATTCTCTCACCCAGCCAGAAACCATTTGTTCTAGAGAATGCAATGCGTGGAACATCGGGATGGAATCAGCTTCTGAATGTCCTTAATTTCTACCCACTCTGAATTTTACCTCTCATTGGTCAGCGGGAGACATTTTTAATTTGGGATTTGAAGAAGCCAATGAAAGATTAACAGAATCCCTCGGTGATGTGAGAGCTATGTATGTAGTTTCATGCCATACCGATCATGAATATAGGCAATAAGCCACAGAGATCGATGATGGGATTCTTATCAGATGTCCCGTTCTTCCCACTCAGGACGGTGTAGCTAAAGAATAACCTGTTCTGCCCTGGTCTGGATGCTTTTTCAGGCGCCCCCGATTCTCTTCTGTGTGTGCCGTGCCACTCGTGGCCCTCAGTTTGCCTGCGTTAGGAGCTTGTTCCTTTGGGTCAGGGCCCTGCCTTCATGAAGTTTCCTTTAAAGTCATTGTTTCCTGGTGGTATGCTAAGGCACAGCATCTCCTTGTAGGTGGCAAAGCACTAATGTGCCCACTCAGTGTTCTGTCACCTGACAGTTCGAGGTCCTCAGTTTACCAGCTTCCTTTGGTCCTTGTTCTCTGTCACACTGGAAGGGGAAAATGTTTTTAAAAACCCACCCACTGGAGAAAGAACTACAGTTGACCCTTGAGCAAAATGGGGATTAGGGGTGCTGATGCCAAGAACCAATTCCAGCATTTAGTAACTATTATACAAGAGTTCCATCAAAAGGTTGATGGGACTTGGGGGGCTCAACAAGGCCACAGAGTAGTTTACCTGTTTCCCCAAAACCTGAATAGGATCATTGTCTACTGCCAGACAGCTCAGGGCATTTTAATGCCTCCTGTGGGCCAAACACCTGAACAGCTGTAGGCTATTCCCCAAACTGGTAATGCTTCTGTACCCTTTGTTACCTTACCCTTTGAAGTGTATATTTCCACCTTGCCTTAGGATAAGTTGTGTTGAATAAAAGCATGGGTCCTTGGTCAAGGAGGAGTCTTCACTTCCTTTTAGCTGAAGCTCCTATGACCCCCAAAACCTTTCAAATATATCTTTCATCTTTGGACTCCTTTTTAATTATCTACGCACAGCCCCTTTCTCCAGAATGATGACGTATGTCCCAGTATTACCCCTTTGGCATCATGGAAGGTGACTGCAAGAAACAATCACATGAGGATTGTTCCTATATTTTCTTTTAAGGTAGGGGTTGTTAAAGAGACCTTCATCTTTGTTGTTCTAGACTCTTTGAAAGAGAATAAACATACTTTAGAAAATGAATTTACATTCAAAGAACTGATATCTATATTTTAAAAGTCACCATTCATAACTCTCATTTTCTTTTTTGCTTTGGCTTCCACAGAGCTCAAAAATAAATGTAAAATATAGCTCAATCTTACCATATAGGCTTATATTTGGGGCATATTTGCTTTTTAAAAAATATATTTTTATTGATTTCAGAGAGGAAGGGAGAGGGAGAGATAGAAACATCAGTAATGAGAGAGAATCATTAATCAGCTGCTTCCTGCATGCTTGAGCCAGCAACCCTGGCATGGACTCAAACCATGGCATCCTGGCTCATAGATCAATGTTCAATTTTGCTTTTCCATTAAAAAATAACAATGATATTTTCTACAAGTCTTTTATTGTAAACCATTTCAGATCTTTTTTTGGAAGTAGTGGGGGTAAATTATGAATATTAATTAAAACATTTTCTTTGTTTTGACTCACTGAGTGCTATGCTTCTTTGTTGTTGTTTTTTTAAGAGTTAATTTTTAAAGATATATTTTTATTGATTTCAGAGGAGAAGGAAGAGGGAGAGATATGATAGAAGCTTCCATGATGAAAGAGAGCAATTGGTCCACTGCCTCCTGCACGTCCCACACTGGGGATCAAGCATGCAACCTGGGCTTGTGCCCTGACCAGGAATTGAACTGTGATTTCCTGGTTCATAGGTTGAACATCAACCACTGAGCCACGTGGGCCAGGCTATACTTCTTTGTTATTAATAAAAAGTTTCTACTATGCACCACCACACTTCAGAGTTCTAAGAAAACCAAGAAGTACAAAATTACTACAGACCTTAAGCAGGTTGAAACTAGTGTGGCTAGAGCACTGTTAGAGATAAGTAATATCAGGTTGCATATTCTTTTTAAAAATATATATATTTTTTTATTGATTTTTTACAGAGAGGAAAAGAGAGGGATAGAAAGTTAGAAACATCAATGAGAGAGAATCACTGATCAGCTGCCTCTTGCACACCCCCTACTGGGGATGTGCCTGCAACCAAGGTACATACCCTTGACCAGAATCGAACCTGGGACCTTTCAGTCCACAGGCCGATGCTCTATCCACTGAACCAAACCGGTTTTGGCAGGTAGCATATTCTTAAGTGATTTCAAAGATGCATTCTATCCTAGGACTCTATAAGTTTAGTTATTAACTTAGTAATATGGACATTTGCTCAAAGCATATTCTGTTTTGATTCAGATTAAATATTCAAATTTCAGCTAACATTTTTCTGAGAATGGTTAAAATTCTTGGGTAACTTTGTTTCTGATTAAGTTTCATAAAAGCAATTTGTATTCCTGGTAGAAATTTGGAAAACGAGAAAGGTATAAAGAAGCAAATTAAAGTCACCATAGTTATACCTGGTGTTCACATTGCATAATATTACACAATATAAGTGACATTTGATATCCTGCTTTTTCTACTTTGCATTATATTGTAAGAATTTTTATTTTTTTAAAAAATATATTTTATTGATTTTGTACAGAGAGGAAGGGAGAGAGGTAGAGAGTTAGAAACATTGATGAGAGAGAGTCATCGATCAGCTGCCTCTTGCACACCCCCTACTGGGGATATGCCCGAAACCAAGGTACATGCCCTTGATGGGAATCGAACCCGGGACCTTTCAGTCCGCAGACCGACGCTCTACCACTGAGCCACACTGGTTTCAGCTATTGTAAGAATTTTTAGATGCTAGATATTCTTTGATCATAGATTTTTATTTTGCAACATTTCATTGAATGATTGTTGAAGACAATCACTCAATGGTTATTGCAAAATAGTCATTGTTGAATCCTATTGTTGAAGATTTAGATGTTTCCCAACCTAACTATCCCCATTAAATATAATACTGTGGCCCTAGCTGGTTTGGCTCAATGGAGAGAGCATCAGCCTGTGGACTAAAGGGTCCCAAGCTGGGACCCTTCTGGTCAAGGACATATGCCCAAGTTGTGGGCTCGATCCTCAGTAGGGGGCATGCAGGAGGCAGCCAATCAATGATTCCCTCTCATCATTGATGTTTCCATCTCTTGCTCCCTTCCTATCTGAAATCAATAAAAAAAAAATATATAATACTGTGATCTACATTTGTAGTGGTAGTGACACAGCATTTATGAAGCACTGACAGTACATGCCAAGCACTGTGCTCTAAGTAATTGACATAAATTATATCGATGTTTCTATATATATAATTAAGTGAAGTAAGAATTATCATCCCTCCTTAAAGATGATGAAACCAAGAATTAGCAGTTAAAGGAAGATAATTTAATCCCTAATCTGACATAATATTTCAACTTGTTTTTTATGAATATGTAAATAGGACTGTTGAAGATTCCAGTTGCCTACTAAAATATAAAATTGGTTCCAAATTAAGAAACTTGTAAATTTTTTCTCCATTCTTTGTCCTCCTTTATATTCTTTTCAAGGAAGAGAATGTCTAATAAATATTTAACAGGATGTTTATGATTTTTTTATTTAGTAATTATTCTACAGTGATAAAATAATATGTGCTATATACCCTCAGAGTCTTTATTTTTGTGTTCTACAGAAAATAGTAGGAATACTGGTCACAGAAATGAGCCTCTCATTTTTTATTAGAGAACAATAAAACCACTGTAATGAAGAGAAATAAAAACAAGAGGTGATCAAAATTCTGAATTTTATGGTATTTGGACACATACATTTAATTTCAAGTACCTGAGAAAATGGAACTGAATTAAACTATATAGCAAGCTGAGGCCCTGCCCTGCTCCCACTGTTTCAGTGAGTAAATGAGGATGATTTGCAGTTGATATGTCACTTGATGGCATGCAAAATAAGGGCTTCTAAAGTGCTTAATGAAGGTTGAAATGGTTCAATTTCTTAAATAGTTCAACCTACTCACTGTGGCTCACTACCTCCTTTTGAAACAGTGTCAAACCAGGTCTGAACTTCCACCGAGTCTCCACTGGAGAATTAAGAATTCAGTGAAACCTGAAAGTGCCCAAGGAGTCTAAAAAATACTCTACCAAAGCTGAAACCGGTTTGGCTCAGTGGATAGAGCCTCGGCCTGCGGACTGAAAGCCCCAGGTTCGATTCTGATCAAGGGCATGTACCTTGGTTGTGGGCAAATCCCCAATAGGGGGTCTGCGAGAGGCAGCTGATTGATGATTCTCTCTCATCGATGTTTCTAACTCTCTATCCCTCTCTCTTCCTCTCTGTAAAATATCAATAAAAATATATTTAAAAAAATACACTACCAAAATCTGGCCCAACCCTGAGGGATGAAACTGTGAACATCCTCGAACTAAAAAAATCAAATGACTTGGGCACCCGGGGGCCATGGAACATTGCAAAAGACTGAAGAGGGAAGCATTGACATTTTAGTTTCTTTCAGGTAAGCCCTAGGTGTTACAGACGAAGAATGAAAAGCCTGGGAAGTGGAAGGAAAAAGAAGGAGCCAAACTTGCTTTTTTCCTGACCGAACACTTCGACGGGAAAGGAACCTTTGCTCTTTTCAGACAAGGGGCCTTCCTCGGGCCCCTAGCCCTCCACCCCGCACGGCGGGCCGGTCCCGCGCAGCAGCTGCCATCCAGATGTGGTCTTGGCATCCTCCAGCCCCAGCCCCAACCTGCCTGGAGGCTCAGCAGCTCAGGGTCCACTCGCCTTCCGCCAGCAGCAACAGCAGCAGCAGCAGCAGGAGGAGGAGCAGCAGCAGGATCAGCCACATGGCACGCCTTCGGAGGGTGTCCCGGACCCCGGGGGACAACAGGAGGGCTGCGGGGTGGAGGGCCAGCGGGGAGGGAGGGAGGCGCAGGGGGGGGGGGGGGCTGGGCGGCGGCCCCGGCGTTGCCTAAGCGACCGGGGTGCGCGTCCCTAGCAACCGCCCGCCCACGTCAGGGTTTGTCCAATAATCGCCCGGGTATTTAGGGCCGCGGCTCGCGGCGGGCGGCGGGGGAGCCAGGACACCGCGCCGGGCAGCGGGTGAGGCGCGGAGGCTGCGGCCCAGGGCACCTCCCCCCCGGCTTCCCAAACCCGGCCGGTCACACCCGAGCGGGGGGAGATGGAAACAACATCGGCCCAACTCTGAGCCCCTCAGGAACACCACCTTCCCGCCTCGTCCCCCGATCCGTCCTCTCCAAGTCTCCATCTCCCGGAGCCGGGCCGGGCGGAAAAAAACAACAACAACCAGCGATGGCGGAAAACCTGAGGAAACTGGTCTCCAACGACTTTTTACGCACCATGTACGAGAACCTGGAGCGCTGGCAGAGGGATTACAACGTGAGTGGGCGGCGAGGGGGAGCCTGGGCTGGCTGCCCCTCGGGCGCCTTACACAGCCCTCCGCCGCCGCCGGCGTTGGTGAGGCCTGGCGTCGGGGGGCCGGTTGTTTGCAAAGCCCCGGTGATGGGGATCCCTAACCAGCCACGCACCCCGGACGCGGGGAAGGAAGGACCGACGACAGGTGTCTGCTGGCGGCGCCTTTTCTTCCCGCGACGCGAGGTGGCGCTGCGGATGCGCTCCGGAGTGGAGCTCTAGGGAGCGCAGCCCCCTGAGTGGTGGTAACCAAGGACGCTGGCAGCCCTAGCAACCGGGAAGGCCGGCGATCTGTCAGGGGTCTGAAGGTCAAGCCCTTCGTGTTCCCTCATGTCCCTTCCTCCAGCAATCCACCTCCTTATCATCTCGAAAGTTTTTTTTTCTCCCCCCCCCCCTACATTTCAACCCCTGCTTCTCCGAAAGTTTCCCACTAGGAGGATACCCAGGAGTTACATCAGAATACATATATGTATATATATATATATATATATATATATATATATATATATATATATAATTTTTTAAAGAACACACCCAGTATTTATTACCCAGAAGTGAGGGAAATGGTCACTTCTCAACATTGCGGGTTTCATTGGTGTGTAGGTTGGCATGGCCTGTAGTTGCAGCTTCAGCACCAAGGCAGACTTCAGAAGGCCTGTTGCCAGGGCATCTGTCAGAGGCCAATATCTGTCAGCAAACCCAGAGCGATCTCCAAGTCTTTCCCCCCCTCCCCCCGCAATCCCCACACTGGCTCCCATTGCCCCACGCAGAAGGTAGAACTCCATTGCTGAATTTACTTTATATTGGGTCCATCTGTCTTCACTAAGATTCCACTCTTAATAGCAAGTAGAACTAACTGGGAGGCAGACAGAGCTGGGGACCCGGATTCAGCACCCCTAGGTTCTAGGTCTGGTTCTGCTTGGTACTAGCTGAATGACCCGGCCAGTTATGTAACCGCCCTGGGTGCCAGTTAAAGGGGAGAGACTGGACTAGATCACACATAAAGTTCTCAGTTTGTTGAGTCTACATCCGCTTGTTTCTAAAATCCCACAGGAAAATGCAACTGGCTGCCGTTCTGCATCCCTTAGGCGTTCCCACTCACCCTTTAACCAGAGCTCCCAGGGTGCGTGGGTAATCCAAGAACAACCACAGCGTTCTCCTGGGCCTGCCTTCCTAGTGTTAGCGTTTATCCCCTTTGTCCTCTTTTAAGGAACCCACACTGACGATTCCTCCTCCAAGATTGCAGGAAATGAAGATTTACCTCTTTATCACAAAGGCCTTAGCCCCCCTCTCCCTGTTCCCCCTTTAAAAGTGCCTCCTTGCAACAAAGTCTCAGAATAATTGTTAGACCCTATGACTGGACATCTCCCTCTGAAGGTCCTGCAGACCCCCTAACCTGTCCCCAAACAGCATCGTCCCTATACCTCTTACTTGTTTCCAAACCTCCCAATGTCCTCCTCGGGTAATGACAGCATCAGCGGGACCTTAGTAGACCCAGGTGTGACATGAGGTTCGGAAGGACCTTTAGTGGACCGTTGGCATCTCCACAGCCCTCATCATCCACCAGCCAGATGTGAGAACTGCCTCCCGCCCTCCAGCAGACTCTGTAATCCAAACTCTATGGAGTCTGCTTCTGCCAGGTTGATTTTTGTGAAATGCAAAGCAAATCTGACCATGTCGTACCCATGCTTCTTTATTACCCTGCTAAATCTTTCAGGGATGGGATGAAGCCCAGAGGCCATGTGCCAAATAGAGTCCTTTGCTATTTGGTCCCCGGACCCTGTATTCTATGTTCCCCTATCATATACCTTGTTTCTTGCCATGATACCTGCTGTTTCTCCCCTTGCAATGTCCTAACTCAGTGGTCGGCAAACTCATTAGTCAACAGAGCTAACTATCAACAGTACAACAATTGAAATTTCTTTGGAGAGCCAAATTTTTAAAATTTTAAACTTCTTCTAGCACCACTTCTTCAAAATAGACTCGCCTAGGCTGTGGCATTTTGTGGAAGAGCCACACTCAAGGGGCCAAAGAGCCGCATGTGGCTCATGAGCCGCAGTTTGCCACCCACTGCCCTAACTTCTTACCCTTTACCCATCACGAGTGTGCGTTTTGTCCCTTCAGCAGCTCACTATCCACCCGGAACCCTTAATCAACTTGTAAGGTAATTGTTTAACCAGGTATGTTTCCCACCCTCCCTCCCGCTTCTCCAGACGGTGAGCTCATTGACAGCAGGCATCATTTCTGAATTTTTATTTATTTTTAATATGGTGTTGTGTCCTGAGCTGCCAGCCCAAGCCCTTCCATCCAATAGAAACTCAATGATTTATGAAGGAAGGAATTTTGAGAGTCGGTGCTTTGGAATTAGGAGACGGGATAATTAGGTAATACATGTATTTTATTTACCTGTGTGAGTACATGTTTGGTAATGCGATCCTATTGGAACTTGAGTATCTTGGGCAATGCTTTGTGTTAGAAGTTGCGGCGAGTTGTGACAGGTCTTGGGAACAGGAACTGATGGTATATTCTTTCTGTTATTTAAGTTGTGCAGACAAACATTTAGCAAACATTCCCTTGAGCACGTTCTAATACCAGGCACTGGGCAAGGCAAAGGAGCATCTATAATAATAAGAGTGTAATATGCTAATTAGACTGGCGTCCTTCCAGACAATCTTCCGGATGAAGCTGGGAATGGGAGGGAAGCCGGGGTCCTGGTGTGGGAGGGAAGCCCGTTCCGGCAGCTGGGGGAAGGAAGGCCTACTCTTGGATGAATTTCGTGCATTAGGCCTCTAGTATAGTAATAATACCATAATAATAATTTTAATTATTGTGCATCTCCTCTATTCTGCACCTAAGTTAGCTCATGAGGTCAACCACCTCCTAAATGCAAACAATGGCGGATCATATTTGAAATTTTTTTTTAAACTGATTTTAATTACACTTTTTCAGACATATTAAAGAAACTTCTATTTTATTCAAGAGTAATTTCTAAGCCACCTTTAGAAAGTTTCTTTTAAAAATTATTTTTCTTTTTTACACCAAGCAACCTACATGGCTACTGTTTGCTTATTTGTTTGTTTGTTTGTTTTTGATCTGAAATTTATTTTCTAAGGCAGTGGTCAGCAAACTCATTAGTCAACAGAGCCAAATATCAACAGTACAATGATTGAAATTTCTTTTGAGAGCCAAAAACCGACTTCTGCGCATGGGCCACGAAGTTTCCATCGCACAGTATGTGCGCGCCCGCAAGTGGTATTTTGTGGAAGAGCCACACTCAAGGGGCCAAAGAGCCGCATGTGGCTCTCGAGCCACAGTTTGCCGACCGCTGTTCTGAGGGGAGGTGACTAGTAAGTGGAGAACCAGATTTAAACCAATGTCTGCCTTGTTCCTAACTCCATTGCTCCTTTCAATACCACATGCCACTTCAAGGCACCAATTGTTGAACACTTCTGTCTCAGGTGCTGAATATGCATTATTTTGATTTAATTCTCTTAACATTCTGCAAGGCACTATCTATCCTTATCTCTGGAGAGGAAATGGGCTCAGAGAGGGAACCTGGGCAGCATCACATAGAACCTGTGACAGGTTTCAAAGCTGAGACGCTCCTTCAGGTCGGCATGACCCTGAGCACGTGGCATGGTCTAGCCAGGGGACTGAGAGGGGAATTGAAGGTCAGTGTTACAAGTGCAGGAGTTAAACAGCAAGAGCAGGGAGCAGCTGGTTCAACAAGGAAGGAATGGCGCTAGCTGTGTAAGTTATGTGCTCCAAATGTTCAAAGCCACTCAGTGTTAGGTTAAGTCACTCATTCATTTATTCACCCATCCATCAAATAGTGTTGGGCCCTTGGATTTGCTATGGATACTAGTGGCAAGTGATACAAACATGAGAAAGGCAAAATCATTTCTTAAAAACACATAGTCTTCTTAGGAGAAAGGGAGAGAGGATGAGACAGCGAAGCAAATGGCTAAAACAGAAATCAATGCTGCAACAGAGCTTGTCACCAGTTTTATTTACCAGGCATGGAAAAGAAACCGGCAGCCCCCTAAGCAATGATGAGTCCATCCTATCCAAACTCCTTGGAAGGCTCCCCAACCTCTCTGGCCTCCTGTGGTAACCTTGAGAACCAAAAAAGTTACCAAACTCCTTTTTGTTATATGGCCTTTGCCCCTGCTGTTCCCACAACCCTACACGTTCCCTCTCTAACCTCTGCATTTAGGACTTAGCTTAGGGTCTCCTCATCAGAGAGGTTTTCCCTAACCACCTTTCTCATTCCCTCTCCATCACATCATCTAGTCCTCCCTCTACTCCCAGCAATAATCACCATCTAAAGGTCAATATCTGGGTTGGGGTGAGGTGGGGGGAAGGGGATGGTGGTGAGGGCATGAGTGGGGGTTAGGGGACAATAGGAGGATAAGAATACATATAATACCTTAATCAATAAAGAAAAAAAGAAAAAAACAATAAAAAAGGAGAAATAAAACAAAATAAAAGTATTGTTTAGTGGTTAAGAGCATGGGATCTGGAACTAAGCAGCTAAGGTTCTGATCTCAGTTCTGACATTTTGTTAGCTAAGTAGTCTTGGGCAAGTTATTTAACTTCTATGCACCTCAGTTTTCTCATCTGAAGATGGAAATAAAATAATGGTACTTCTATCTTATAGTGTATTATAATACCATGGGGCTTAACTGAGCTTATACATACAAGCATGAATAGTGCCTGGCACTTAGGAGGGATGTAATAAATCCAAAATGAGTGAATTGTCTTATGTTCATGCACCCATCTAATACTTACTGTGCTTGAATAAAATAGAGACTAGAGTGCAGGGCTGGAAATATAATACAACAATGAATGATCAGAGCAGGCACAGCCTTTGTCCACAGGGCACTTCCCTTGTGCTACTGATACATGTTTTTCTGGTCAACTTTTGGCTAGAGGTCATCTCAACTTTTCCTATTTATTCCAGTTTCTATCCTCCTCATAACACACTTCCTGTCTCGGGGTTTATAGTGCGATTACTAGTGCCTTGTAAGGGCTTGAGATGACATACCAATACACCCACGTGATTGGTTGGTTGCTTACAGTTGTGTCCCTTCCTTTAGTATTAGACTTACTTAGAGGTTTAGCTAGAAATAGTAGCAGCTCACCAAGGCGATGACACAGGCAGGATAATAGTGAAAAGACCTACCTCTTGACTTCTTCGTGTTCTGCTCTTACTGCTTCGA